GGGGCTGAGCTCCCTTAGTGCCTCTCTTCTCTAAGCAAGGACTGAGCTCACTCTGCAGCCTTTCCCTCTATTGTCATCACAAAGGTTTTTTCTCTGCAGCTTTCAATTGTCACAGAGCATGCAGGAATGCAAGAAATGCAAGGAATTCTTTCCAAAAGTTTTGAATACTCTATGGGAAGTCCCCTGTAACACCAAGAAATCTTCTTCCTTCTTCAGAATCCCTTAAATTGGGGAATGTTTTTACTTGAATAAAACACTGCGCTGCTCTGAGGCTTTCCTACTGACCTGTGCCCAATCTCATGGGCTATAGTAACTCCAAGGTCAAAGCCAGTGTCCTGGGTAATAACACATTTCCAGAAGGAGGAGCAGACTCCACCTAACTGAGTGACTCCACGCAGCTCCTTGTTCCCATCAGGTAACTCCAAGTCAAACCTAAAGTAAGGAAGACAGATACAGAGGAAAGAGCAAAGAACCGCTGCAGCTACTCAAGTCAGGTCTCAACACTCAACTGAATTTATTTGGACTTTCCTGATCTAACTTTGCCAGCCAGCTAACATTTCTTTTGATGCATGGAGCTCCCTGTGGCAAGCTGGAAGCAGTGTGCCAGATGGTCCCACAAGTGCACACTGTTCACATTTGTGGTGATTCTACATTAAAAAAATCCTGACATCCCTGACAAGCAGAACAGACTGAAATGACCTAATGATGACAGAGCAGTGTCATCATCTCTTTGAAGAAAGAGCATTAAAACAAAGCCATTACACTCAAGAGAAGTTTGCCTTCAACAAATTTAGCTGAGGCAATTTAGAGCAAGGTGCCTGAAAGTCAGACAAAATGTCTGAATCAGAGTAGCACTAGGAATCTTCTATGGAAAAACTTCCAGTCGCTGTCTGACTTTTCTGCACGCAAAAAGCTGCAGTGTGTTTGGCTCTGCTGCTCAAGTCTGGCTGGTCAGCTCTTGGGGAATATTCCAATTCCTTCAGAAACTGAAGAAAGAGCATCTCTGACTAACTGTACTACACTAAGGGTGGGAGACTCAATCCCAAACAGGACATTTCCAAAGGTTCTGTGATGCCCAGCTGCTGGAAGAGCCAATGCAAATCACTGTCACTTGCTAAATGCTGGATGTCACCAGCCTTGTTTCCAGTCCCTTCCCAGGGCAGGGGAGCTTTGTTACCTCGTGACGTAGAGGACAAGGTCAGCATGCTGGGGGTCAGAGTCATTCTGGGGGTTGACCTTCTTGCTCCACTCACAAACGCTGATCAGTGAGGAGGTAATATTTGTTGTGATGTTTACCTCTGCCTAGAGTGAAGGCACATGTTTACAATTTCATTATGTGCAGCTTTTAGCAACCACTTGAGCGGAGTTCTCCCCACTTACCTCTGGCTCTCTCAAAACAAGCATTTGCGTAAGATGAACCCTGAAATGAGCTCCCAGTGAGGCATCTCTCAGCAGCTCTGCCCCCTGATAAGAGACAGAAAGGATTCAATAAAGGGGGCAACTCAATGACTCCCACTACCTGTTCCCAATGACAGGCTGCATTCACTACAAAGGTAACACACCTGGTAACTATAAGGGGCAACTATAAAATCACCAGGAAATACAACATTCAAATATGCACTATAAATGTAAATAAATCTGGTAACAGATGGGAACTGTTGTCAGATTTGCCAGATACTCTGAAACAGAGAGAAGAATCTCCATGGAAAAGAGTTGCGTAGGGTAAGAGAGTGAAGGCTAAAGACTGTTTTGCAATACACACAAAGAAAATGCATAAATGATTAAGACATTTAGAGAAATTCTGTAACAGAAATAAAATGCTGAAATGTGAAATACAATATTAATTCAGTGGATCTGGTTCAATTTCAGTGAAATCATCAGGGACTGGATCAAGGCTCTGGTGATAAAACTTGCTATTTTATCTGACTTACAACAATATTAGTAATGAAATAAAGAACTACGTTTTCTATGTGGGTTTCAAGGCTACAACCCCAACGCTTCTAACATTCACTTTTACTCATGAAGCTCCTTGTACAAGGCAAAGCTTGCCATGCACTGCTAAGGGGAGCAGAGAGGATCTCCCTGCACCTGAGCAGTGCTCTGTACTAGGAGCACATAACCACCAATACCTCTGAAAGTGCACTCAAAGAGGTCTGCCTGCTTGTGACAGTCCATGACCATGTGAGCTCTCACACTGGGACAGCAATCCAAACAGAAATCTACTCACAATGTTCAGGTTGGCAAGAATATACCGCTCCGTGTCCTCTTTGTGGTACAAGTAAACATCTGGACCTGCTATGACCATCAGCTCGAGATGTTTGACAGTTCCTTCATCCCTCTTCTGCAGGCGAGAGGGAAACCACCCTGCTGAACAGCACAAAGGGACACAGGGAGTTTAAAATGCAAGACAACATAAAAGGTGCTGCAGATCCATTCCCTTTTCCTGAAAGACTAAAATAACCAAGCTGGGAGACCACTCCTCCAGTTACTTGCTCAGGTTTCCCACTTCCGTTGATTTCTTTCACCTGCTAGCAACCTTCTACTATCAGAATAACAAATACCTAAATGAAAACACACCAGTTACACCTCTGTGAGGCAAGAAACATATTCAAGTATACTGTTTGTAGACACCAATTTTTCCTCAGCACTCATGCAAGCAACCCCACTAACAGGAGACATCTTTTCCAAGCAGAACAAGCAAGGCTTCCTTTCCATGTGCATTACCTCTTGCTGTATTTGCCTCTCTGGCAGCACTTCTGAAGACAATGTGAGGTTTGGAAAAGCCAAGGTCCTTCAGCAGGGCCACATCTTTGCTTCTGACAGGCCTGATATGAATCTTTTCCTCATCTGCAATGACAACTCCTTGCTAAAGGAGATGAAATTCCATCTGAGTTATTCCAAAGCCATTTACTGTCAGTGGAGAACCATGTGCCATATCCTTCCTGTTTCTCCTTCGTAATGCTTAGATTTATTAAACAGATGGATCACACATTTGGTGCATTAAGCTGCAAAGCTACAAGGGCTGTAAAAGCTTGCAAGAGTAAGTTCAGTGCATACTCACCAGCTGCCCTTCACAGTAAGTGACTCTACACTTCATCCCAGGGGGTTGCAGTAGATTTCCACCTGCAAAGCAGTTGCCTGGGAATCGCTTCAGTAAGCTAAAGGAAGAGTTCACCACCTGATTGCTCACAAAGGAAGAGGAAAGGAAGGCATGGTCCTCCAGAAATTCAAAAGCATAGAGCTCTCCCCAGGCCTCAATGGAGCAATACTGAATGCAACAGGACTTCAGCCCAATCTCCCCTTCTTTACAAGGGCAAGTTGGCTCAGCAACAACAAACTCTGGTACTGAAAAGAAATGAAACAAGACCAGAACAAAGGGAAAGGTTATGAGAAACAACAATACAAAACAAATGTAATGATCTATCTCCTTAAGAAAAAAATGCTCCCCAAATGACAACCATGGCCTTTAGGGCTCACCGTGTCAATAGCCAAAGAACTTCTGCACTTTCATGTATTCAAAAGTGAAGTTACTCTGATTGGGAACAGACAAGAGCTCTGGAACTGGTTCCTGATTTATCAGTGCTCTTGCTCTCTCGATAAGGAGAGCAGCTCATTTAACAAAGGCTGAGATGCTTTTACATCCTCACATGTTAATTATTAGGGAGTGAGAATTATAGTTCAGACAGAGACACAGCGAGATGAGCACTGGGTGAACTCACAAGTAGACAATCTCCTTTCCTTTAAGCATTTGAGAGTTTAAAATGTACCTTTATTCTGAACTATTATCAATCCAAAGCCAGAATACTAGTTTCTCCATGTGCTAGTTGTCTGGGTTTTTTAAAACAAACATGTGCATTTAAAGCTATTTTCAGTCTTCCCATTCAGAAGGCCTGGATCTGTTCATCTCGTAGAAAAATACCAATAGAGAGAATGAGAACTGCAGCAGAAACATGCACAAAGTTTTACCCTATCTCCTCCAGCAGACTTTAAATACTGACCCAGTTCTTCAGCCGCTTTCACACTGAAACAGGAATTGCCTGAGTAACAAGGCTCAGAAGTGCTAAATGCTTGTCGGATCACAGCTCCTTAGTAAGTGCTCTTAGTGTTATCAAACATAGAGAATTAGAAATGAACCAACAGATGCATACCACTGGACACTGAGCTGGTTCCAAAATACGAAAAAACATCTTCTGCATCCAAAGCGCTGAGAAATTTCTGTAAGAACAACAATTTACTGGTTTATAAAAAAAACCAACCGGATACGAGACTGTCGTTAACCGAACCCAACCTGGAAAGCACACAGTGGGCAACTCAACAGGCACTGATGCCAAGTTCTCGTGGCTTTATTTCACATTAAGCATGGGCTGCACAACAGCCACGCAGAGGAAGCCTCTCCATCTGCTCCATTACCGCGTCTGACGGCTACTGGCTCACAACACCTCTTGTTGCCTCTTTGTTTTTCCCTAGAAATACAAAAGCGTTCCTGGAAACGGCGTTTTGTGGAGGCCGGACTCACCTCTCGCACCGGCGCGGGCCAGCAGAGCCCCCAGGGGAGCACCAGGAGCGCCCGCAGCGCCAAGCCGCCGCTCATGCTGCAGGAGCCGCGGACTGCGCCGGGCCGCGCCGGGGCGGAGGAGTTGGTCTCGGGCCCGAGGCATCACGTGGAGCGGGAGGGCAGAGCGCAGGGTCCAAGCAAACACGGTTCCCCCGAGGGGCAGCTCGGGGCGGTTTGCGCAACGTCCGCAGCCTCCTGGAGGCCAGGGCCGAGCTCCGTCCGGCGCCACGACCGAGCGCAAGGGGCGCCCGCGGGGAATGGGCCCTGCGCTGCCGGGGCTGTGCCCGACCGCTCCGCCGGCCCACGCGGGCCGTAGGCACCGGTCTCACGCGCAGGGCAGGCCTCGCAGCCCGGAACCGAAGTGCGGGTCCGCGTTCCCGGCCGGGCCGGTGCGGCACTGCGCGGCCCCGGTGCCGGAGTGGCGGGGAGCGGTAGCGCTGGCACCGTGGGGCTGCGCCGCATGGCGAACCGGAGCCCCGGGGAGCCCGAGGCGGCCCGCGGGAGGAGGAAGGGCTGGCGGGGCCGCGGGGAAGCGAACGCGCCGAAAGGCACCGACGTGGCGGCGGCCGCGGGTCCCCCCCGCAGCCCCCGGGAGTTCTCCTCCAACTGGAAGGCGCTGCAGGAGGTGAGGGGCAGCGGGGATGGGGAAGGCCCCGGGCCGGCCTGGGCCACGCTGCCAGGGCCTGAGCGCGGTTCCGCCACGTGCCTGGCGATGAAGAAAGGCACGAGCTTGGGGCCAGTACATAAAGCGGGATGCCGGGAGCCATTTAAGGTTGGACCAGGTGATCCTTGAGGTACCTTCCAGCCTGGAATTCTGTGAGCGCCAGGAATGATGGTGGGGTCGGAAGCGGGGGGAGATAATACTTTTGGGGTTTATTTTGTTCTGTCGTTTTAGCTACTGAGGCAAAAGGCAAATAGCTCCAACGAGTCCCTCACTACGTGTCAGACACACACCAGAACTACACAGCCACTCAAACCAGGAAACAGCCAAGAAGTCCTGGTTACCAATGGGAATGGCAATGTGGTAAAGGTCAGATCCACAAATAAAATGGACAGTTGTTCTGGTAAATACAGTTCTCCTTTGGCTAAGGCAAAACCCAAGGGGGTTGCAATGGTTAAGAATATGAATGGAACCAGAAGCAATCAAAAAGACTGCAAAGATAAAACGAAAAATGGTGATGTTTTAAAGGAGAAAGATGATATAAAACATAAGAGGAGGAAAGCTGAAGAACATGTGGAGCAGCAACTCAAAGAGTGAGTACTTCAGGCATCGTACATTTATGTGAACATTTATTTTGGGAGGTGTACACTCAGACCAGCTGAGCACAAAAACTAAGCCTTGTTGCAGCATGCCTCTTATTTCTCCTTACCCTGCAAGTATAGCAAGGAGCATGCATAGGTGACAGTACTTAACTGATTGTCACAGAGCCGATGTCTTGATTTTAAAACAAATGCTTTTTCTACACTATAAAGATGAAAGAGTGCTTTAAAACCGCCCAATGTAATTAAATCTGTACTTACCAGGGCTGAAATCTGGTTTGATGACGTCGATCCAAAAGATATCGAAGCAGCAATAGGATGTGAAGCAGCAAAAATTGCACGAAGAAATCTGGGACTTGAAACAGGTCAATCCAGTCACTCTGTGAAGCAGGTGCTGGTTAAGGAAGGTGCTTTTGAAGGGTGAGTGGCATTCCAGCTGGAAGGATAGCAGCAGAGCCATTGAGAGCATCTTCTCGTAAGCATGATTATTGGGTGCACAGCATAAGCTGACAAACTGCTGAGTTTCCTGTTCCTGTCCACACAGGAGCCCCATGAATGCTGCTCTGTGGGCCCTGTGACACAGGCATCACTGAGCTGCCGTTTGTCTTTTAGGCTGACGCGAGCTGTGGCCATGGACTGCGAGATGGTGGGAACGGGACCCAAGGGAGAGGACAGTATTGTGGCTCGTGTGTCCATAGTCAACCAGTTTGGAAAGTGTGTTTATGACAAGTATGTCAAGCCTACGGAAGAGGTGACCGATTACAGAACTGCTGTCAGTGGCATCCGCCCAGAGAATATAAATACAGGTAGGGTATTATTTTCCCCAGAAAAGGTTTGTTAAGGAGGGAAAATTTAACAGGCTGTCACAGAAGCATTGGTGGCTGAGCCTGGAAAAGTTTTAGACCTTTGTTGGGAAATGGAACACAAAATGTAGCCTGAATGCCAAGAAAAGATGTGGGAAGAAGTACTTTTTACAGAGTGGTCACTAATGCCCTGGCAGAAATGTACGTGTGGATAATGAGATGGGAATAAAAGGGAGTTTATTTACTTCTTTATGGAATTCTCTGTGCTGTTCTAACAAGAAGAGGATTTAGTGTGCTGTGCCAATTTGTGTAACTACAGTCCCAAGGATACAATTGCTTTCACAGAAAAGAGACAGCTTTTTAGTTTTATAACTTGCTCATCTGTCTCCTGCATCTAACAGAAAGTGTTTCCTTTTGTGGTATTTTTAGGTGAAGATTTTAAAACAGTTCAGAAGGAAGTCGCTGACATCTTGAATGGAAGGATTTTGGTTGGCCACGCTTTGCGGAATGATCTAAAGGTACATGGCTGCACATCTTGTATTTTTAGGAAGAGGATGCAATAATTTTTAGATTAATTTTCTAGTACAACATTCTGGATCAGATGAACAAACCTGAACTTCTAGAAACTACAGCTTTATTACTGCTATCTTGGTTTCTTGGCATTTCATACTGCAACAGTTACAGCCCTAGTCACTTGCCCATTAGGATTCTTCAGCTTTCAAACTGCTTGATGGTGTTGCTAGCGCTTAATCTGCCTACTAAAGAGGCAGGAAAGAAGCAGAATGATGAAAAATCTGCATGCTTTGCTTAGTACCCAAAACTTAGCAGTCTGATTGGTGTCACCAGAGACAAGTACCTTACATCATGCTGTACCAGCACTGCAGAGGTAGTCTCTACAGGTTGTGCCTTCAGATTAATTTCTGCTTCTGTGGTTCTTTGAATCTGTGGTTCTTTGAATCCAGCCAGGGTCTGGATGATCTGGGTCTTGTCCATTCAGAGTTTTCAGCCCTCCCGTATAACGGATGGAATGAAGCAGCAGGAAGCTGTACGTTCATCTCTATTAAAGTTTCATGCAGCAGCACACTTTGGACTGTAAATGTAACATTTTCTAGGTCCTGTTTCTTGATCATCCTCAGAAGAAGATACGTGACACACAAAGATACAAACCTTTCAGGCAGAGAGTCGGAATCAAGGTAAGAGACTGATGGGAAGATGCCTGTCAACTCAGTTAACCGACTCATGAGCTGCTGCCTTCCAGTGGTAGCTCACCCCTACACTTGCCTCTGCCGGACCCTATTTCTTCTTTCCTACCTGAAACAGATGACTGCTTTTTGTCAATTGAAATACTAATCTAGTTGTATCCTTTCTTAGTGTTTGCAGTACATCAATAACTTTGGTTCAGTGCAGAAAACTCAGTGACTTTCCCATTCTTTAGCACTTGCATGGCCTTCATAATGCTCTTCTGGATAGCAAAATAAAATGGTAGAGTTCTACTTAAGGTAAGGCTTAGGCCATCTTCTTAATGGTACCATTTCCATAGCGATGTTAAAAGGCTTCAAGTTTCTGTTTTGACTGTAGGAGTAAAGTGTCAGGTTATGGGGAAATATTTCAACTTTCACAGCTACATACTTGGGTTTCCTTTTTCACAACAAAGCACCCCAAACATAGATCCGAGGGTTACAGCAATACACAACATCCTCTCAGTAGCATACATGCAAATCTCAATTCATTATTCTTGACAGGTCACCAGTAGAAGCTGAGATGTGCCATATTTTGAAGTTTACACAAATGAGTATTTTTATATACATACACACACATCTCTATATGCATTTTAAGTAGTGCAGGACATGATTCTGTCTTTTCTGTCTCCAGAATGGGAGGCCATCACTGAAGCTGCTCTGTGAGAAACTGCTAAATGTTCAAGTGCAGACATCAGAGCACTGCTCGGTACGTAACTCCTCTTAACATACATTTTTGGGTAGATCAAGAAGGCACTAGACATTAACTCTAGGATCTGGGTTCAGTACAGAATACTGTGGGTTCATTCTAGCCTCTCAGTCAAAGTTAACATGCTCTGCTTACATGCCTGCATGCTGCAGGACTGTCATCTAGCTTGTTTACCATTACATGTCTCATGCCACTTGGATTATTATCTTCATAAACTGCCGTTGCACAAGTCAACCATATTTTGTGTAAATGTTATTAATTCTTGTTATTTTAAGACCCCCAGGGGAAAAAAGCAATTCCCAAGTATTGACTTGCTTCCCTTAAAAGCAAAATTCTGCACAGTTGTACTGTGGCAAGTTGGATAAAATAGTGAGAGCCTACTACTGAATCGCAGCCCTTACTTCCTTTCTTTCAGTGGGCAGGAGGGCATAAGAGAAGAACAGACTGAAACAGGAGTTTCATCATTAAAATGATGAGTTAGCTGCTTATTAATAATAATGTTCTTAACCCATATCAGCTATGTTTTATTAAGCCTCCTGTTTGTTCTGTTCCTTTTTAGGTTCAGGATGCACAAGCAGCAATGAGACTTTACACCTTAGAGAAAAACAAATGGGAAGCTGGTGTTAAGAACAAGTCTAACAACAAAAAAATGTAAAACTTGAATGATTCTACCGCTGTGTTTTTATCTACAGCATCTGCTGGTTTCGTGTCACTTTCCAGGGCAAATTTAGAAATAACTCGGAACTGACAGCAGCAACTTAAAGAAAAATAATAATCAAGAGACAGTACTTCCTAACCTGGTATGTTAATGCTGCCAACCGAGACTACTGCTGGCACCCCCTTTCTGATGCCTACCACTGTGTTTCAACAATAGCTGTAACCAATACCTGCATTTGTGAAGTACTTCATGAGTTAAATTTCTGAGTAAGTTGAGAATTTCTAGCTCCTACTCCCCCTTTCAGAACAGTAAAAATCACTGCCTCTGAGCAGCTGTGCTGAACCAACAGTCACTGCAAAGAGCAGTCACCTGTCAGACACAGAGAACGAGATTTCTACTCACCTGTGGAAAATATTTTGTTTGTTTATATAAAACAAAGCATCCACCATCTGTCCCAGGAATTTCACAACCACCTATTGAGGGGAATATACATTAAAGAATAACAAATAGAATAACTTACAGATACCTTTTGGAAGGCAGGTTCTAAAGCACCCTTCAGCAAAACACTGTGCTTTGAAGGTTTTGAAAGAGGGAATAGAAAGGGAGAAATACAAAAGCAGTGAAACTATCAGTTCAACCAGATGCTTTTTCTGTACTTTTTACCATGTCTGTTATTTTTTCCGACTTCTGCCTTTTTTCCTTGATGAAAGATCTCCTTGGCCTGAGTGCTGCATTACCAGATGAAGGAACAGACATGACACCTGTAAAAAACACCACACCAATTTTGTCCAATTGTTTGCATGGAATCCCATATCCAGTAAGAAAGATAAAACCAAGAACTTGGCCAAACTGGTGGGTGTGCTGCTGACCCAATACCAAGGGGTGTTCTGAGATGAGTAATTTCTCACAGAGGAGACAATATTTACTCTTTTATTAAAAATATACCATGTATGTTGTTTGGGGAAATTTTGGAGGATGTTCTGTTTTTTTTGTTTATTAGCTTCTTAATTAAAAAAATAAATAAATCATTAAGCATTTTATCCAAAGCCATGTGGGACAATTCAAGTCAAATACACATCCATAAAATCAGTGCAAAGTTTGCCTGAGCACTCAATAAATTCTGCAAGTAAATGAGCCAGGGCATTCAGCTTCCCATACTCTCCTATAAAAGGGTCTTCATGCAGGCATGAAAATCAGTACTGCACACTGGTTTATATCAGAAACTGAGTCAGCACGCAGTACTGCATGTGAGGGACTCCAATCCGCGTATCTGCACAGCTTTTCAGCATGTCTACGCAGGAGCTAAAGCAGGCTTGTTTCAGATCATATAACCACTTTTTTTTTTTAGCATCACACACCAACAGCCCTAGATTTAAACCTGCAAAAATGCTGACATGCCTACAATGTTAACCCTGCGTTCCAGTGTAACCAATCCTTCTTCATTCTCACCTTATTATCCCAAGTCACAAACGATTCCTTGTAAGTACAGATGTTTGAGTGATGAAATTTTAGCAAATTCATTGCCTGCACAGAATAAAAAAAAAAAAAAAAAAAGAAACATTACAGAGAGAGCTTTCAATAGCTACACAGTCCTTCCCATTAACAGGACCTTAAACAATATCCCAAGCCAGTTCCCGACTTGTTTGTGTCACATGCCTGCTCAAATTCTTTCAGTGTGCAAGCTCTGTTATCTATATGCATCTGCCAGTGTCAAGATAAGGAAAATATTTCATTAAGATTCTACTCAATAAAATGCTGCAACAGCCTTGTGAGATTCAAGGATATAAACTGATCCTTAGAGAGATGATATGTGAACCACCCCCCTTCTTCAATTCCTAAACCTGAAAACACAGAATATGAAAGTCAAGATTCTTTTTCTAGCATAGCCATTATTTCCAGTAACCCCATGCAAGCTTGACACTGGTGAGATGCTTATCTACCTCCTTGAAGTTGTTTTCACTGTAAGGACTCTAACAATTACCAATTACTTCAACAAGCTTGCTGATGATGTGAAAAGTAAGAATTCACCTTACTCTCCTATAGTTGTGTTTGTGGCTGTGCACACACAACAGAAGAACTCTAAGAGCTCCCAGCTGGCATAACTGCATTTGTTTCAATAGACACATACATCAAGAGAAAAACTGGACCAAAATATCAATAATGCCTTAGTACATAAAGAGATCACCTCTTGAGCAAGATGAAGCATCTGTACAGATGTGTATTCTCACTCATTTATAACTGCAGATATTATGCATGCAGGACATCGTGAGACTAATCCATCATCTGTTACTGCACATGTTTTAAAATACCAAAATTTGTTTCAGTAATAGTATTTCTAGTGTTGCTTCTTCCTCAAGGCATTGAAACAAGTTAAAAAAAAGAAGTATAACAAAAGAAGAAAACCAGTTAAATCATTCACATCAAAAAATGTCCAGCTCTCAGAAAAGAACACGTCATGAAGCATACTAACTAGAAATTGAGTTATTAGTAAAACTATAAACAGACCAAGATTCTCCTTAAACTTAAAGGCCAAAACAGTGAGCTTTGCTCTTTGTCTTCAGCACAAAACAAATACAAATGCTGAAAAAGGACTATCCTCTGAGAACAGCCATCCATTTGAATCTACATATTCAAACAGAAGAGAATTAATACAAAATACAGACCTAAGCCCAAGCAGAGAGCAGGGAGAACACCCCTCAGTTAGTCCTACCTGATTTACTTCTTGACTATTTACTTAGTTAATCCTTACAGATAAAAGACTTTGGTCTGTTAAAGGCTTTGGTCTTTTCAATAAAGTACTAAAGAAAAATTGCACTGATACCTCCTTCAAGGCCTCATTTGCTTGCTTTTCTTTAATGCACTGCACCTGCAACAAACAAAAGACAAGGATGAGATTATAACATAGAGACAGGCACACTTTAAGCCTGAGCAACCTTGTCAAGAATACTAGAACTGCAAGTTTTGAATTAACTGGCATAAATTTTCAGTGACAACTCCAGTCCCTAATATTTAGGGCAGTCTCCCTGGGAAATGGCCAGAAACAGTTTCAAATGAGTCCACAACAGTTCTACCTACTCCTTTCTTGTACTGCCAAAGTAGCAGCAAGCTAATGTGAAAACACACCAGATGGACCTAAATAGGCTGCTCCCCTTTCCCACTTTTAACCTGAATATTCTACTAATCTGGTCTGAATCAATTTCCAAAACAGCAGCACAGTAAGATGTAAGCCTGCTCTTACCGAGGGGCCAAGCAACTTCTGTGTCTGTTACTATCAAAGGGGCCACAGAGATTAGCGAATGTGCCAATGAACTCTTGTTTTCCTAGCAACCACTTTCTCACCTGCTTTATTATATATTTCTTCTCCACACCCTTTTCCATTTTCAATTCAGCTACCAGCACGTGCCCAGGGCCCCAGGCTGGAGCTGCTCCAGCACCTGCGGGGCACAGGAAACACTCGTGCACTTGGTCAGTTACAAGCAGTAGAACGACCAATGCAAAAAGTCCCTTCAAGCCACTTTCCCTGCAGACACCCTCCACGCATCACCACGGCAGGGTGACGGGCTCCCGCATCCCCATCCCATCCTCAGGAAGCACACAGGCTTTCAGTTTCCCTCTGCAGGGCAGAGCAGCCCAGCGTACCCACACCCCTGCCCCTAGGGCCGCCTCATCCCCCAGGGTCCCCCACCATTCCCAACAAGACTGCAACCGCCACCTTCCTGACGGACGAGGCCTGGTCCTGCAGGCCGCATCTCATACTTCTCCATGGCGGGACAGAGGAAGGCAGAGCAGGCTGCTGGTGTGGAGGGACCCCCACGGCTGGGCGCACCGCCCGCTTCCCGCAGCACAACCATCAGGCCGACAAGGCGCCCCCACAGGCACCCGCGACCGCCGCACCGCGCCCAACAGGGCCACCCTGAGCCCGGAGCTGCCGCTTTAAGGCGCGGTGCGGAGGGGAGGGGCCGCCCCACCCTCCCCGAGCCACGCCCCTCCCCGCGTGCGCCGGCGCTGGCCCCCGAGCGGCGCCTTTAAGGGCTGGCCTACGTGGCAGCGTAGGGATCGGTGCGCGGCCCGGCGCTCCTCCGCCACGCTCCTCCCGCCGCTGTCTCTGAGAGCCGGGCCCAGGCGCGTAGAGCCGTCGCACCGCCGCCGCCATGGGCCAGAACGACATCATGAGCACCGCCGAGGATTTCGCGGATCAGGTGCGTGCCCGCCTGCCTTTCCTTCTCTGGCCGGACGGCCTTTGTGTGCTGGGCCGCTTCCTCGGGTGCTGAGGCTGCCTGCGGGAGAGGGAGGGAACAGGAGGGCAGGGCAGGCCGCAGTAGAGGATCCGGAATGGCGGCGTCCCGCAGCGGGGTCGCCACCTTGGGGCCTGCTCTTCCGGCGGGCCTGCGGGCTATCTCGGTCGCGTCGCCCTGGGGGAAGGCTCCGGCCCGGCTTCCCGCCGGAGAGGGAGTGGCTGGCGCAGGTCCGGCTGCTGTGTCCCTTTGGGAGTGGCGGCCCCCTGTCCTTATACGAGCCTCGCGACTGCTCTTCAGCCTGTGTACAATGAAGCAGACAAGTTCTCCTTGGGAACTGGGCTTCTTCTTGGGAGTGGAAAGAGAGCAAGGTCCGACCTGTTCTTGTCTTCCTGCAAGCCGTCCATGCTGGCAAATGGGGCTTAAAGCGGTGTGGGAAATGGAAGCGAGGTGATGGGGGACAGGAAAGCGAAAATCTAAGCCCCGACCGGTACCTGAAAACCCAAACTGGAAGATGTTTGCCGGCACTCCAGTGCTGTGCTTAGATAAAAGCAGTAAAGGGGTAAAACTAGAGCAAGCCAGTTGATGCTGTCTGGTAATTCTCTTTACATCTATTTCAGTGAAGGTTCTTACAGTTTTCTCTGTTAAATAGAGGTTTCTAATCTCTTATATGTAAGAGTAGAAACATTTTGAGTACTTGATCTGCTGGTTATGCTTTTAGAAAAATATTCACTGTCATTATGGTTCATCTACTTGAAAATGAGAGGCAACATCTTATATTTAACAGGTTCTCTGGAAAACCTGATTCTGCCTGGTTCTACAACTCTGACTGTTGAAATTGTGTGGTGCAAGATAACATGTCACAGCTCTGAGGGGGCTGTGCTGCCTCTGTGTCTTTAACCGAGTTTCACTGGGAAAACCTGTTCCATGCTTCCTCCTCACCCCCAGATGGAAATCTCAGAGATAGAGCTTCTTATGGTGCATGGAGTATCCTCTTTAAAGGGTGTCTGGATCATCTTGGTTATCCACCCTGTTTACCTTCTTCTCTCACTCCCTTTAGAGAAGAAAGTAAACTATTGCTATAGTGTTCAAACTACTTGCTAAAATTTAGGACTCTTGTCCTGACCTTTTCATAACACCTCTCTGTTTACTCTTGTGTGACTGTTTCTAGATGTCTGTAGCACCTCTTTATTCATACTAATGAAAGCTCTTTTATCCAGCTAAAATGCTGTTTGCTTCCTCCTGAAATGAGTTTTAAATGGCACAACATCATTTGTGCTTGGCCGTATCCTATATAAAGATGAGTCTTTAGCTGCAGAATTCAGTGTTTGCCTACACTTAGCCATCAGATGATAAAACAATTTTTATGCTTTCCAAGTAACTAGCCCCTTTGATAATTCTGCCTTCGGATAGCTGCCTAATAGCTCAATCATGCACTTTCCGTATGTGTATGCTGCTAGAACTCAGTATCCCACCAGTGCAGGAGTGATTTACTAAGGGATAACCTTTAGTATATATTGCAAAGTTAACACTTGGCTTATGGAAACTGTTAGTTCATACTAGACAAAAAAAAAATACTTGGAACATTTGGACTGAAATAGTGTTAAAGCTCCTCTTGATAGAGGCGGAGGTAGTTGAGCTGGACAGTGTCTGTTCTGGGAGCTCTGTGCATTCTCAGTGTATCCTGGATTTCTCCGCTGCCTGTACTAGTGTTCAAGAATAACGAGTCTTAAATTTCTGCAACATAAAAGCCCTGTGGTAAAATGTTACAGCTACTTCCATGGTTTATCAGCATGTCCTGAATGTCTCTTACAAATGCAATAATAATCCATTCCTTAAATTGAAACACTAAAGCTTAACTTTTCTCAGACCCTGTAATTTCTGTGTGAATTAGCAAATTATGTCCTAGATGCCAAGATATTCAGTAGTAACAAGTAATCCAAAAGGGAGCTAGTGCAGTGAAGATGTGGTCTTACAAGGCAGCTAAGCTTTTCTGACAGCTAGCTGTCAGGGAAAGGTGCTGTCCTGCTTCTCCTATGGCTGTGGGCCTCTTTTCTCTCACACCAGCACTTTCCAGTCACTGGACTGGAGAGCTTAACTGGCAGGGAAAAAAAAGAGATCCTTTTTTTCTGTTAGTGTGATTATATCATTGTTCAGATCAAGTGAGCACCAGTGCTTGTGGTGGGATAGAATCATAAAATAGATAGGGTTGGAAAGGACCTTAAGATCATCAAGTTCCAACTCCCCCTGCCATGGGCAGGGACACCTCGCTCTAAACCATATTACCCAAGGCCTCATCCAACCTGGCCTTGAACACTGCCAGGGATAGAGCATTCACAACCTCCCTGGGCAACCCATTCCAGTGCCTCACCACCCTAACAGGAAAGAATTTCCTCCTTATATCCAATCTAAACTTCCCCTGTTTAAGTTTTAAGCCATTAGCCCTTGTCTTGCCACTACAGTCCCTAATGAAGAGTCCATTCCCCAGCATCCCTATAGGCCCCCTTCAGATACTGGAAGGCTGCTATGAGGTCTCCACGCAGCCTTCTCTTCTCCAGGCTGAACAGCCCCAACTTTCTCAGCCGATTTTCATATGGGAGGTGCTCCAGTCCCCTGATAATTCTCGTGGCCCTCCTCTGGACTTGTTCCAACAGATCCATGTCCTTTTTATGTTGAGGACACCAGAACTGTACACAATACTCCAAGTGAGGTCTCACGAGAGCAGAATAAAGGGGCAGGATCACCTCCTTCGACCTGCTGGTCACACTCCTTTTGATGATCACTTGTGATAGCTAGCTGTGAGTTTAGCTTGGCTATAGCATGAGTTTGTAGCCCGCAGGTGCACAGTATGGCTGGTGAGCTGTGCTCTGAGCTGCTGGTGGTTGCCAAGGCCTGCAGCAGAGGCCTTGCTTGGGGCTGGGCCTGTTGAATTCAGGGAAGGCAACTTGTTAGATACTGGGGAGGGTGGGAAAAAGTATTAAAGGCTCTTAAAGTGTGGGTGAGCCACAGTGCAAGGAAATCACAATCTTGGTTCAAAATTATGCCCAACTATGGGTTTCATGGGCTGATTTCTTTTTAAACACTACAGCACCAGCCCAATCTTAATTTCTGAATTATTTATTAATAGATAATATTTAGAGTTATTCTAAATTACTTGATTAGTAAGCCCTATTTTAGTGATTCCTGTTTAAAATATTGCATGCTAAGCACTTCAGTGCAGTTGCCATGTACTGCTGACATTACTGTACTGAAAAATAGCTGTATTTGGGCCCTGTGCTGACTGTTTAGGGTTTGAGAGCTGGTTGTCACTCCTCGTAAGAGGGAGCAGATCTCAGGAACTTTTCTAGTGTCTGTGCTAATCTTTAGGAATGTGGGTGCCTGGTATTTCTGCAGTTCTAAAAAAGTTATGGACAGAAGTGCAAGGAGACTATTGAGTCACTCTGCTGCAGTGAAAGGGCTGCAAGGGACACCCAGACTCTGGGGGTTTCATTTAATTTTCCAAAATAAATGCTGATGCATGTTCAGCTAACGACAACATCTCTGTATCCTATTTTGCAGAACATGGAAGGGAGAATAAAACATCTAATGTTAGTCTGAACTTTCCTGCATTTTATATTAAAACATGAATTTGGAAATGTTCTCTGTAACTTAGTGATGTCAGTACATCAGTCCTTTAGCATTATAAGCCACATACCCTGTTCTGGTTAGGCTAGAAAATAATCTCCCTATGAAGAATGATAACAAATACCAATATACAGAAAAATCCCATTTTAAGATTTGATTACTAAATAGCTTTTTGAAAAATGGAATTGGTATAAGGCACGTTTTAGGAGTGAAAAGCATTACTAGAATCTTCCTGCAATTAAAAATTTAAGATTGCTGGCAATGTTCTAGTGTGTCACAGCTCCATTCCTGCCTTTTGAAGTAAGTAGGAAAGCCTCTGTTTCCAGCTTTCCCAAGGAACTCGCATACATTGATCAACTCAGCGTGGTAGGTGCTGTTGTCCTTGTAATGTTTAGGTGGGAGTTCTTTCAGTGGATATACACAGGTTGGTGAAAGAAATTGTTCTTTTTTTCTCTGCCAGAGGATTGAGCATCCTATTCCGTGAAGGATCACAGGCTGCTGGAGGTATCTGCCCTCCTGGAACAAAGGAAACCCTTAAATGCATGTCATTTAGATATTTGCAATATGCCTTTATGGGCAGCTCTAAGCTAATAATACTGTGCAGCACATGAGGACTTTCTGGGTACATCAGCAGGCTGTTCTGCTAATCACCATGATCAGCACTTCCCTGATGTAAGAACACGCACCTCCTGGCTATGTACTTGTCTTAAAGTACCTTTAGTTATGGTATATGCACTTTGAACAGCACAGACTAGAGTTTTTAACAAATTTGATACTGCTGGAGGTAGAATATAGTTTAGAAAGCATCATAAAGAGTCAAAACAGAACAGGCCCTTGTCATGGGTTTGAGTATTTTAAGCCTCCTTTTGAAAGATCCTGGATCCTCTTGTACATCTCTGCTTGTTGAGAGGAACATTGAACTCTCTGCCCTTCTGATGCTGTTAGAGGGGAAAGTGGCAACGCAGAGCTCCGCTAGTGTATGCTAGTGACTTGGCTGCCAACACAGAACCAGCTGGTCTTCAAAACAGTTCTACTTCAGCATGTTGTTTTCTCTTCTCAAGATACATTGCCTCTTGGAAGGAGGCAGTGTGTGCTAAGAACAGGTGATGCAAAATCCACAGTGGAACAAGCTATCCTATTACTTGATGTCATGAGTTTAACACTGCAACCTCCATCAATCTCAACAGTTTTGCTTTGATTTACAGGTATTGTGCTTAGTGGCATGCATATTTCAGGTCCCACATCTTAGCTGGATATGTTTATCAACTGCAGTTACCACATTTCCCATACGTGCTGCTTTTATCTGTGTGAATTTTAAAGGAAGTAGGAAGTGGTCTAAGGTTACAGCATTTGAGACACAGTGATGTGCAGAGCATAAAAACAGGGTGTTTGGTACTATTAGTTCAGTCCCGCTTCTGGAGATCTCCTGTTTCTTAGAAGTTATCTTGTCCTTAGTTAAATGACTTGGGTGATTTATACCCAAACCCTCTAATTGCAGAATCACTTGATGTTTGTTGTGTTCTCTTCCTTTAGTCATCACATAACTGTTCTCTTGCTTTCTCTCTGGATGTCTATGGCTAGTTGTTCTTTTGGCCTTGATTTTTGTTCATACGGTCTGTTTCTGAAGGCGATTTACTTCAGGCTTGCTGTGTACAGGGGCCATCAACTTGTGTGTAGCTAAGTAAATGCAGCTACATGGGTTATGGGTGTCCAGTGACGATAAGGTTGCTCCTTTACACCTGGAGAACAGGTGAACGTTAAATGCCTTCTCGCTTCCTTCACCTGGACTGTTGGCAGTTACCCTTTCAGGAAAGGGGAAGATGAGATCAGCTTACATGACCCATTTCAAAATAACAAAGATGAGGCCTGGAGGCAGATAGCCTCTCTAAGGTTTCTGCTTTGTTCTGCCTCTCCACAGTGGGTCTCTTCCTTTTCCTTACAGATGCCTTCCACTTTCATTTATTTATTTTTTTTCCTAGACCAGATTTGCTTGTTCTGGGTCTCAACACAGCAGAGTTACTGCACAAACCACTTCTGGGTTTGTAATAGTTCCAAAATAACTTTGTCCTTAGTATTCCACAGCAAGTTTGCCCAAATGCACAGTGAAATCCAGGAGAAAAGCAAGCTGTAAACCAAGCTGTGTGTCTCATGCAGTGACAAAGATCACAGATTTTCTTCTGACTCATTCATCCAACTGTTGACATGGCTTAAAAAAACCTGAAGTGGCAGCCCTGAATCAGAGTACAGCTGCACTTAAAATGTACTCCGTTGACTTGACTCTTGACCCTTAGACTCTGGCTGCATGCAGTACAACTGCTGTAGTTTGTTCCCATAGTCACTGTTTAATTAAGTGTGACTGTTGGGTTTTTTTCTTGTGATAATTTTCAGTTAAACGGTAAGCAAAGCTTGACGTTTACATAAGCTTTAGAGCAGCCTTTAGTAATTACTAGTTACTTTGGCAAGGGTAAACTTTCAGCAATGGCTTTAGTCTCCTTGCTCCATGCTCCCATATAGACTGAAAGCATGTGGTGCTGCCAGAGCTGTAAAGATTTTGCCCAGAAAGAAACCAGTCAGCTCTCTTGTCTATCCTGAGGTCAATGGAGATACTGAATTACAAAAGAAAAGGCTTGTGTGCCTTCTCAGTCCATTTTTCATAGCACAGTTCAATGCTGTCTAGAAGACACCTATACACACATGGGCTCCCCCACCCCTTTTCATGCTTGAAGTATTGTAGTATTTACTGTAGTGACAGGACAAGGGGTAAAGGGTTAAAACTGAAACAGAGGAAGTTTAGGTTGGATATAAGGAAGAAATCCTTTCCTGTTACGGTGGTGAGAGACTGGAATGGGTTGCCCAGGGAGGCTGTGAATGCTCCATCCCTGGCAGTGTTCAAGGCCAGGTTGGACAAAGCCTTGGGTGACATGGTTTAGTGTGAGATGTCCCTGCCCATGGCAGGGGCGTTGGAACTAGATGATCTTAAGGTCCTTTCCAACCCTAACTATTCTATGATTCTATTCCAATAATGTATAAACAACACGACTCAATGTGCCTTACAACACATGGAACTTCATGTGGGGTAATGGGGTTTTGTTAAACAGCAGTTCCTCCTAGTCTTAATGCGGGGATCCCTGTGGATTCTGGAAGCAAGTTCTGCATGAAGCCTCCTGACATGGGCATTTACTTTCATGAGTATTAACGTGCTCAAACTGCTTCTGTCATCTGGAAGCAAAAACCTGCTGTTTAATCTTGTAGGGAGTTTTAGGTTAAATTCACATTTGTTTCTTACTAGACTGCATTTGCTCAGACAGGAGCATACGCTGGCTCCAGATACATCCTCTGAGAGATGTGGCTAAGCTGAACCTGTGTGTGGAAGAGGCCAGCCAGGCTCTGGCTTGCACCAAGTGACAATGCAAATCCAAGTGCTATTTTTTATTGGAAGTAGAAACTGTGTATAGTTCTAGGACAGAGGGTGCAGTTTCATGCGATGGCCACACTGATCTGGTTGCTGTTGCCGGTACACAAGTGCACATGCTTTGCACCAGTGCTTTTCTGAGCTGTTAGGAAGAGCTGGCTTGGCAGAAAGCTTATTAATGTTTTTCAATTCGTGCAGAATGGGTCTCCTGTCAGCCTGACTCCCTGAGTCAGTTTGTTACAGGGTGTTGAGTGCCTGAGCATGTAGGACTGTCCTTTCAGCTCCTGGTTGGCTGATAGTTGAGATGTAACAGGAAACCCTGAGACAGAAGCTAAAACCAGGGTCAGCCTTCAGCTAGTAAGAGCTTCATCAAACACAGTTCCACTTATGTAGGAAGGTGTTGCTGGATTCTGGTTTTCTCCAGGTCCTAGTCCCAAATGTTCTTGGGATGGCATGTGACAACAGGTTTCGCCCTGCTGCTCCCAGCTGTTCTCAAACTGAAGTGGAGAAGAATTTCATTAAATCGAGTCCCAAGTATGTGTTTCTTTCCAGATGTTGATGATTTACGTGCATGAGAACTGCCGACCTCCGAGTCTGCAGAGTGCATGGATCTGTTATGGCTTGAGTATCACCTTGCCTTGGTCCCCTGCTAACAATGCTGTCTGCCCGTGCAGTTCCTGAGGGTGACGAAGCAGTACCTGCCCCATGTGGCCCGCCTGTGCCTGATCAGCACCTTCCTGGAGGATGGCATCCGCATGTGGTTCCAGTGGAGCGAACAGAGGGATTACATTGATGGCACATGGAACTGTGGCTATTTCCTGGCCTCCATCTTTGTGTTCATAAATCTCTTTGGACAGCTAAGTAAGTGGCTCTAAGGCTGTTAAGGTGGATGCCAGAGCACTCCAGTGTGTCTGCCACCCTGGCTTGTGTAACCACTGTGAATCATGTAAACACGGGATGCTTCACTGACTTCTTAATAGCCACTGAAAGCTTAGAACTGATAGTACCACATGGGATGAATGAGCTCAATTGACCTGCTTCAGTCTTTCCTGGAAGTGATCTTGAAGAATTTCTTCTGACACTATCTCTGAGTCAGATGCCAAGAATTCATTAGGACAATCTGTTTTCAATTCTGTACCTGCCTCTCTAAACCCATACACCCCCTGAATTTTCTAAATTAAATACTCTTGTTTCTTAAACAGGGCAGTGTTAAGACTTTCCTGGTGTCCTGATTGAAGGGGTACTAATATCAATGGCAGTCTTGTGTGCTTAAACCTGAGGGGGGGGGCTTGTGTTGGAGATTTTTTAAAGCCCAGGATTAGAAGTAAGCCCAGAAGCAGAGCTCTTATGATTGTGTTGGTGGGCCTAGAGAAACGGAGAGAAGTCAGATCCTATGCTGTTCATGTTGTGTCCCTTGGTTGCTCCAGCAATTTCTTGTCTTGTGTTTGGGTTTAAATTATTTTATTTTAACCACATATTTTTGTATAACAAATCAGCTTAATTGAATGCAGTTACCAGTCCTCGTGTCAGAGTAGCAAAGATTGTCAGTGCTTTGTGATAAAGACTTGAGGAAGGCTATAAACCAAAAGCTTTAAAGCAAAAGGAGTACAGCATGTTTGCCCTAACACTTCTTTCACCAAAAAATAAAATAAATCCATAGTTAGTTGAGTTCCTTTTTAATTTCTTGTAATGCTTCAACACCAACGGCTGCTGTACAGTGCTGTGTTGGGGGCTGCATTCAGCATGTGCTTACTCTTTGTAAAATAAAAGATGTTTCTGGAATTGGAATACCTTTTAAAATGCACTAAGACTTCTAGGTTCTAAGACTGATTTGTGCCCGTAAAATTTCCTGCCTGATGTTATTTGTGGCTCAGTGGAAAGCAACCAGTGTCTCTTCAGTTCAGAGCAAGTTAGCATTCCTGCAGCATCTTTTCCTGTGCAAGCCAGAAGTGTAACTGTGTTCAATTTCCCCAACTCAGGCGGCTGCATCCTGGTGCTGAGTAGGAACTTTGTGCAATATGCCTGCTTTGGACTGTTTGGAATTATAGCATTACAGGTAGGAGGCTTGAGTCTTCAGCCCTTCTAAATTTTATCTTTCAAATCTTCTCGCTTAGCCCCAGTACTACCAATGTAGTTAAATACAACTTGCAGCCCTGGAATTCTTCTTCACCTTGGCCTAGTGCCAGTCCTCAATGGCACTGAACTGTTTTGCTGCTTCTGGTGTGCCCAATAGATCCTGAGCTGTAAGTTAGTTGGCTGGAGACATTGATTCAATACTTGACCAGTTTAGCAGAAGTAACTTGCACTTTACCTGTATGTCAGTAAAGTGCCAAATGTGGAACTTGCGGTTGCTTTGGCCTTCAGCGCACAGCTGTTATACAAGATCCTAGCTAGTAGTAGCCTCCTTCCTCTTCAAAACCAATGAACTGGGGGGGGGGGGGGGAAGGGGTGTGGGGTGTGTGGCTACAGCACAGGTCAATCCTGGCTTCTGTTCCCTGTTTCCCACTGGCTGACTGGACCACACTGATGTAACCTACCTTGTTTCCTTCAGTGTAACATACTTGTAAACTGACTTCTGCTACGGATAGCGCAGGCTTGAGACTGTAACATAAATTCATAATGTCAGTGCAGTTTATATGGTGTTTTAACCTGGCTTTTTTTCCCTTTGCCTAGACTATTGCATACAGCATTCTATGGGACCTGAAGTTCTTGATGAGGTATGCCTACTTCTTAAGAGTTTATCAGAACAGAACCAAAACAGTCCTCTGTGACTGACAGAGGAAGTGATCTCTGTACATAGTTTTTATTAGAAGTACACCACTAGAAGTATTTGCAAATTGTGCATTTACATTAAACAAGAAATGTCAGCATTTAAAAAATCAGTAGAGTCTGTGTTAAGCCATAGACCAGTATTGTAGAAGGCAAAAGACTAATCCTAGCCTTCTAGGATCTGAGTGCTTCTGCTACTAACCTTCTTGCTGAGCACTCACAAGCAGCTGTCGAGACTGGATCAGTGAGCTGCTGTTATTTCCTAAATGGTTAAAATAGCAACTGTGCAGCCATTTTCTGGGCTAGCTAAAGCATACTGATACTAGAATGGTTTATGGGATTTTAAATCTCTAACACCTTGGAGTACAAGACAGGGCTTTTAAACATGAGCTTTCTTGCCAATCCTGAGTAATGGCTGTTGCCTTTTCACCCCTCTCCTTTGAGAAGGGGAGTAGGGGGCAGCACAACAACTATACTCTGGGCTTACTACAACCCTGTAAGCTGTGTACCTGTGTAATTTTTAGCAGGACTGCTCTTCTGTTTTCTCAAAGCAACCTCTGAACTACTTTGGCATACGTGATTAAACCTGAGGTACAGAATAACTTCAATACAACTAAAGTCATGCAGTGACAGATGCTAAGCAACTGTGCCTGAGCTGAGGGTGTTGGACTTTCCTGGCAGGCTTTATGTGTCTGCACAGGCTTGGGGAAATCCTTGAGCACAATACTGCTGTGTCAGCTGTGAAGCCTGATGCAGGCACACTGCATGGGGAGGAGTAGGTCACTCCTCCCCAGCATGCAGATTCGTACTGAGTTCAAATTGTCGGATAAAACTTTAAATCATTAGAGTAGTGCAAAGTATAAACTGCCTTTGGTTTTTTTTCTTTTTTCCTGTCTTCCTGTAGGAACCTGGCCCTTGGGGGAGGTTTGCTGCTGCTTTTGGCCGAGTCACGCTCAGAGGGAAAGAGTATGTTTGCTGGTGTCCCCACCATGCGGGAAAGCTCCCCAAAGCAGTACATGCAGCTGGGGGGCCGTGTGCTGCTGGTCCTCATGTTCATGACACTGCTACATTTTGATATGAACTTCTTTTCTGTAAGTATCTGAGTATAAAAGTATGAGTTAAGGAACTAGAATATAGTACCAACTCCCTGATCAGCTGCAGCAGCTGCTCAGTGCTTATCATTTAAGTCTATTTTTTTAGTAGAATTAATATGTAGAGAAAGCTACTAGATCATCTGTGCCATGACAGCCTGTTCTGTTGAACTTGTCCGTGCTCTGTTCTGATGCTTGTCTGTCTATTTAAGAGGCATGTGTAAGCTTGTGGTGTTGTTTTATTTGCAGATTTTGCAGAACATTGTGGGCACAGCCCTGATTATCTTGGTGGCAATTGGCTTCAAGACTAAGCTGGCTGCCTTGACTCTAGTCATCTGGCTGTTTGGCATCAATATCTACTTTAATGCCTTCTGGACCATCCCAGCCTACAAGCCCATGCACGACTTCCTCAAATATGATTTCTTCCAGACCATGTCTGTCATTGGAGGCCTCCTCCTTGTGGTTGCACTGGGTCCTGGTGGAGTCTCCATGGATGAGAAGAAAAAAGAGTGGTAACAGGAATAGCAACACTTCTTGGGACATAACGTATTAAGTCCAGAACTGATTCTTTATGGATTCAACAAAAACTGCCAGCATTTTACACGTACATGCCCCCTTCCTATTAAAGGCACAGATATTCTGAATTTGATTTACAGTGGCACCAGTAATGTAATAGACAAAATCCTATTTCTTCAAGAAAAGTTGCCTAGGCTTATTCTAACTTCCTAGATTTGGAACTAACCCAAGGAACCTGCATTTTGCTGATGCTTCAGTGAGTTGCAGTAGAACAGTAGTTTGCTGTCTTTAATGTCAGCAGTGTTTTGAAATTTGAAGTACTGTGAGCAGATACAGCTGTATCATTGTGTACTGTTGGGTTCTAGCTATAACTAAAAAAGTGGCTCCCGTTTCTCACCCTCATTAAAACTGTCTTGTGCATGAGGAGTTCCCTTACTGATCATAGCATTTCTTATCAATGTGGAAAGCAGCATCAAGAAAAACCACTGTTATTCTGCTGCTTAGAGGCCTGTAATTCCATTTCGTTTAACAGGGGAAGTATTTCCTACCCCCAAATGGAAGGTAAAAAGAAAAACCCTGAAAGTAGTTGTACCCCCTCTAGGTAAGAAAAGGGAGGGGGTCATCTAACATGTCCCATTTCCCCTCTCAAGAGGAACAAGGGATAATCCTTTATTGCTAATCAGGAGTCCTGTTTTGCTAATCACATTTCAAGGAGCGGAGGGGGCAGTACTCCTGAAGAGACAGAATGTCAGATTCTGTGAAAATTGTGTGCCAAAAGAACTGTATTCAGCATTCTTTCCCCAGAGTTTCCTCCTGAATTCCCAAGAAGGGAGCCAAGTTGTGCTGCACGTTCCATAACAGAAGCTCCTTTCTGCTGTTAAGCAGCTTCCATCCACATATGCCCCAAATTCCTATCTGAATTGTAGGTTACTGGTAAAAGTATCTTGAAAACTACAGAACTCCCCCTTTTCCCTGCACTTGGTACAGGTGAGAGAGGAGCAGTCAGTCTTTTCATCTGTAGGGTTTGCTTCTGTCGGTCCAGGCTGTGCCAGTCCCTGTGACAGCAAGGGGCCAGTCGAGGGCAGCCCTTTCTCTGCCCCATGGCTCATCCCAGGCTGTGCAGGGAGGACACCCATCAGCTCTGTGCTCCCAGAGCGCCAGTTCTTGGCTCTGAATCCAACGGTTATAGCTGAAGAATGCAAATTCAAACCCATGCAGCGAATGCAGCTGGGGATGTAACTTGTGTGTTCAGAGGGAGGAACTCCTCAGTATAATGGGGGGGAAAGACCCCATTTCCACCTTTCAGTGCCACAATCACTGTGCCATGAACATCCTTAGTGCTGCTCAGAGGAGGGATTTTGTCCTCTGCCAGTCAGCTAGGTAAGCCTGTTTCACTAGATCATGAAAGAGCTCTAGAAAGCATGAGCCCTACCAACTTGTTAATATTACATGGATACCTTGCACTGTTGTCTCCCTTGAGAAAGCTGCTCAACTGTTTGTTCAAGGAGTAATTCAGCTGAATGTCTCCAGCAGGAGCTATTTACCAGGGTCTCCTGGTAAGGACACTAACCTGGACAGTTCAACTTAATGGTTGCTTTTTAGGAGAGAAGACTAGTCTGAAAGAACTGATGCCAAATAGAAGAGCACTGATGAGTGCTAAACCAATTATTTCATCATCTTGAAGGGAAAATGGCTAGCTTAATAGCAAGATACGCTGCTGGTGAAGGAATCGGGGGGTGGTAGGTGGGAGGGGAAGCCAGCAGTTTCGGTTGGGTCATATAGAAAGTTTTCTTTTTAAAAGGTTTTGCAAGAGAAGTTTTTTTACCTTGAGTGTTCACTGTGCCCATCTTTTCATAGCAAAACTAGTCTTTCCAGTTACAGATAAGCAGCACAGGTACTTTTTGCTCAGTTTCACTGCAGGTCTTGTAATGGTTTTGGACTACATCAAGGCAGCCAATCTCAGATACTTTAACTGCTGGTGGTGTTCATAGTATTTATAAATGGAATGATAGAAACTGCTCCTGTAAGTAGCCCTTAAGTTGGCTTTCTCAACTTATGTCCTGTCTAAGGAGCTGGATGACAGCCTGGTCTGAAATGCTGACTGACCAGTTTTCTCTGTGAAAATCGAGTCCCTTTTCCAGCAAAAGGCCCCAGAAAAGGAACTGATACTGTCCCTTGCAGCAAAAATATTTTGGTACTAAAGGGACATGGTCAGGAGGAGGGCATTAAAGGTATTTCCAGGCAGCACAATATGCAGACTTACTGTGAGTCCTGATGCGAAGATTCTGGTTTCCTACCTATGCTGCTGTATTTGTGCATTTCCCAAAAATCCCATGACCTCTCCCCATGGCTGAGAAGCTCTCACAAGCAGGATATCAGCTGTCAATTGGCTCTGCAAAGTGTTCTGGAATTCATTCTGAATATATTTTTGCTTTCTATGTGGAAAAAAAAAGTATAAATTCTCATTTTTATGCTGTATTTTGTACCTTAGTTGTGTTTGAAAATGTTTTGATTTTTGGAAACAATCAAAATAAAACAATGGCATCTTTGTATCCACCTGGCGTGTGTGAGTGGTGACGCTCCCCAAGCAGGCTGCTGATTACTGCTCCTGTGCCACCTATTGACAATCCTCTTCATGAGGAAGAGTCCCCAGCTCTGGGCTGCCTGCATGTGGCAGTGCTTCTCCCTGGGGGGCAGCTTAAGGCTTTTAAATACCACTTGATTGTACCCCACTGCTCCCCTCCTCAGCTCTAACAGGTAACAGCTCCCACGAGAATTGTTACACGACAGGCTTCAGACCACTGTAGTTATCACAAAGTTTATTTGCCATTGGCTGCTTTCTTCAAGTTCTTGGGTTTTCGATGATGACTCTTGAATTTCTTCTTTAAAAGGCCTGACTGTTTCTGTAGAGAAAAATAAGTTAATCAGCTGATTTCCAAACCCCAAGACAGCTTAAAGAGAAACTCAGTGTGATTTCCTTCATCAAGTGACAGAGCAGAAGGGATCTTTCCCTGCCCCTACCCTACAAGTTTGCGTCCCTTTCTCTGACAGGCCTCTGGTTTCATTAGATACTGTTTGTAGCGATGAACCCAAATTTCACCCAGCCTCATCTCTCCAGTTTGATACAGTTATAAAGGATCTAGCCCTTTCCTCGGAGTCTGCCTTGGAGAGTTAACACGTTTGTCCACCTTTATGTAGGGAACATCTGTCTGCTTCTCAACCTGAGAAAGAATATTCTTGCAAGGCAAGACCTGGCCAGCTCCTCAAGAGGTAGAAAAAGGGCTTAGAAGGACCCTGTCCCTTCAGAGGGTTTAATTTGTGTTTGTGTGTGTAAGGGATATGCTTCAGTCTCCCTCTTAAGGCAGTGTGCAGCAGGATCCTGTCAATGGCCTGTCTGTACAGGCAGGAACAATCCTAGTGACCGCAGACAGGGTGAATTGCTGGTGGCAGTTCACAACTCAGGACACAGCCAGAGGCTGGCACATGGGGAAAAGCCATTCTGAGTAACTGCACCTTCTGCTGGTTCTCAGACAGGAACAGATCAAACACATACAGGATGGGACCCCAGCTCAAGGCTCCCCTACTGCTGCATGCAGCGCGACTCCCACCTTTCCCCGTTTGTTGCCACTGGCTCTGCTGACATCTGTTCTTCCACCATCCTCTCTATTCATGTCACCATTCTGCTTGATCCCATCATCCTCGCTGTCTGTTGCAAAGTCATCACTGCCCTTTGTGGTCTGTGGAGCCGCTGGGCTTTTTCTTGGAAAGAGTGCAGCTAAAATACAAATACTTAGGTCAGCATCGAGCCCTGTGACACAGGCTTCCCCCCGACTTTACACCGAGGACATCTCAAAAGCAATTTCCAAAGCTGCTTCCAGTTGCTGAGCTCGTATGTGTCACTACTGGAATACTTGGGAAATAAACATGCTGGTTTATGAGGAGTGTGCTGGTGCTCTCACTCGCCCCACTTCGGGGACTGCTCAGCACAGGCTGTTCTGGGGTGTCATCCCTTTCCCTCCCACAGCCAGGCAACACCTACAGGTGTAAGCAGCACAGCCTGACCAGCTTCTGTGAGACTCAAGGTTTTGCTAGGAAATGAGGAAAGCAGAGATACCTAAAGCAGTAAATCCCAGCAGACCCTAGATCCCTCCCCTAACACCTTATGTGATCCAGCTCTGGTTATTACTTAGTGGAAACTGCAGTTTCTTATCTGGTGGTGGTAAGCTTTACTGAAAGCCAAGAACTCCATGCCTCTGGCATGTAAGCAACAAAGAACAGTATAAAGAAGCTGGGAGAAAATCCCTTCAAAAAACTCCCTTCAGGACACAGATGACAGTGATGTTCTCACTCACATGGGTACAGGTCACTCATGCTATCGTCTGTCTCCTCTCCATCCTCATCGCTGGACTGTGGCTCCCAGAATTCCTCTTTTTTGTAAGGCTGCCTGCTCCTGTTCATTTGGTCATCAGAGTGGTGCGTCCGTCGCTGCTTCTGTCGCAGGCATGCAGGGATGTACTCCACTCCTTCCTTCTGGCACTCCTCATCTAAGAGAGCAGTTATTGGGAAGGCCACCCTACCACCTCAGGCCTTTTCATTCCCAGCTCCTAGCTTGTGCTAAATGCAACTCAAAAGCAAGTCAACCTCCAACTCTAATATACATTCATGTAATCTACAGCAATGCTATGGACCATGAAAGAGGGGAAAGACGTTTACACTGAGCCTGTGCTGGAGGAGTGAACTGCCCTCTCCCGTAAGGATGTTCCAAGGTATTTGCTAGAGGCCAATTGCTCCCTACATCTGGGATCTTCCTCTGTAGCTGAGGAGCACACACAGCAACAGCAGCACTCTACTATCAATCTAAACAAAACTGACCGACTCCCTTCACGTAGATCTACTGGAATCTCAAAAGTTCAGAGAAAAATCTCTGCTTATATCTTTCAGAAAAGCTACTTACATGTTTTGAGGGCCTTCTGATAGCGCCTCCCCTGGACATGAGACAGCACTTGCTCTGGGTACTTGTTGATGTGCCTGAGAGTCAGCTTGCAAAACAGCTGGTGCCTGACAAAGGCAGAAACAAAGAGCCAGCAACAGCTTGCTATTGCGCAGTAACTTTTCACTTACAAGGCCTGTGCTCGAAGTTGATAAATATTTTATAAAGACTTCTCCAGTCTCCCCAAACCCACAGACTCAAGAACCTTTGTAAAATTCTACCACTGTATGTCTGAGATTGAACAAAGCGTAAGCATGTCACACAGGGGGAAGAATACGTACAGGTTCTTTGTGCTGGGCACTATATGGGGCTCAAACACGCTGTAGTCAAACTCTCTGGCTGTCTTTATCAGCCGCTGATACTTCTTGCCATTAGTGTAATTCTGCAGGTCCGACAGCCGACACAGCATCTCATGTCCCGTCAGCCTGCACCGCACCTGCAGGAAACGTCTGGTCAAGGAAGCGCAAGGGGTACCCACCGCTGGGGCACACCCCGAGCCCCACCAGCGCCCCTCTCCCGGCCCGTCCCCAACCTCCACACTGAGATAAAGCCTCTGGGCCCGGGGCTCGCTGGGTCGAGCCCATGCGCCGCGGTTCCCCAGCTCGCTCAAGGGACGCGGACGCGGCCCTGGCCCCGGCCTCCCCTTGCAAACCCCTCCGAGAGACAGCCGCGGTCCCCCACAGGGCTCCAGCCGCACCCGGCCCGGCTGCACGAGGCTAAGCAGCGGATGCTGCCGCAGGAAGAGTCGCTCCGCCTCGGGCACCTCAGCCCCACCGTCCGCGGGCCCCGCCGCACGCTCCGCCATGCCAGAGCAGAGCGCCCGACTTCCGGTGCCGGAACCATAGAGAGGGGCGGTCAGAGAGGAGCCCGCCCACGCCGGGACATCCGGGACCGAAGGCTCGTGGGAGTCGCGGGGGACAGTGGCGGTGTTCGTGTTGCCATGGCGATGGGGAGGCTGCTACTGCACGCGGGGCCGCGTGTGCTGCGGGAGCGCCGGGGGCGGGTGAGGGCAGAGGGGAGCGGGGCCTGGGCCTGAGCCGAGGGCAGCGGGACAGGGGGGGAGTGGAGTTGGGGCTGGGGGAAGCGGGGCCGGGCTGGAGGAAGTGGGGCCGGGCCGGGGGGAGCGGGGGTGGGCCGGCCGAGGGCAGCGGGGCCGGCCTCAGCCGGATAAGGCCCCCATCTCGTCCGGACCCCGTTCCTCGCGGTGCTCGGCGCTACAAAAGCTGCGGCCGAGCTCGCCCAGCCGCTGCCCTTCCGTTGCCGGGGCCCGAGGTCTGGCTGCGGTGGGTTGGTGTCCCCCCCGCGGCGGGTGAGGGCACCGGTTTCACTCCGTGGCACTCAGCGGTGCTGCAAGCGCGCCGAACCGGCGGCAGAAAGGCTGTAAATGTGCCCCTGTGCCCTCCAGCGGGGTCGGAGGGCAGGTGCCGCGCTGGCAGTTACTGCAAAACCGGGTTAGGCTGGTGCGGATGTGTGCCCATAGCGTGGATGGGAAGGGAAAGCTCATGTGCTGTGCTATGGCCGGCGCCATCACTGCAATTTGATTTAAATAAATAAGCATATTTTATTATAACCTCACTAATAGTGTTTCACAAGCAGGCAGTTGCTCAGAGGAAACTTAAATCCACAGGTAAACAAAATTTCATGCCCCATTGAGCAAATAATATCATCTAGATACAAATTCTACAAAGCAGAGACACAACAAAGGATCTTTCTTGTCTTTCATATTTCATGTAGATATCACACTGCTTGATCAGAAGAACTTTTTTTGGATATCCCCTAACTAAAGCAGGTTCTGGTCTGGTCCAGCAGACTAAAGGTAAGGTGTGGGTTTCTGTTCTGTTTCAGCCTCATACCAAGAGGTGACATTTCTTGCAGGAATTTGGCATCGCTTCTCCTGTACAAATCCTGATCCTCATTCTGTTTTCCTCAGGTGTCTTTTTGAGGTTCTGCAGACCACAAAGTTCTACAACAGCTGCTGATGCAACTGGAGAAGATACCTTACTCAAATGGGGTCTTCTCCTGGTCCCTCTGTCTGCATTCTGTCTCGGCACATGGCAGGTACAAATAAATATTCAGTTTTTTCAAGAGATAAGCACTTGAGGGCTGTCAGCTTGTTCCATCTCTGGCTGTTTAATGTAGTTCAAATCTCGTAGGGGAAAGATTTGCTGTTAATTTAAATTTCTGTTTTCCAAGTTTTCATTTAAAAGTCTTTGAAAGGAGAGATTCTTGGTTTTTTACACTTTTATTTCCGTGTAAATATTTCATCAAATTCAAGTCAGTAGCCTCTATTTTCATATCTCCGATTCCCCTGCTTTAGGCAAGGTCTGACAAGAAACTTGTGGCAAAGGTTTTCAGGCTGACTGGGGTTACTCCATTGCTCTGTTCCACCCTGAGGAGCTACTTTTCTGTTTGTGTATTTTCAGGTTCAGCGACGAAAGTGGAAATTAGATTTGATTGCACAACTGGCGTCAAGAATTACATCAGAGCCCATCCCTCTGACATTAGAGTATGGAAGCTGTCACTGTCTGCAGAGCACTGACAGTGTGCTGGGGATAGTAGAAGTGATCCCTGCACTAATGACCTTATTCTAAATTAAACTGCATTAAAATGAAGGAATCTGATGGGAATCGGGATGTGCGAGCAAATTAGAAAGATATCCTGTTACTTATTTATAGTAAAAGAATAAGTGAATGCTTCCCTGTGGGATACTGCAAATGCAAGTAAAAAGCATGAATGTCTGTTCAGGAGAACATGGTATGTATTTCGTACCATGCGTAGTGTAGTCCTCCTGGAGAAGGAGGGCTTGGTAGTTGGTATCTGTGATGTCCCAAGGGAATTATTGCTGCCACAGGAAGTCTTGGATAACTGGCCCTGCCCCAAGCGTGAGGCAGTTGTGTCAGATATGAGAGAAATTTTTAAGGTCACTTGGGCATATGGCACAGCTGTGAAAAAGTTGAGTTGTTCTGTGTCATGGTCTCAGATAGGAGAGCAATGCTCCCTGTGGGCTGGACATATGTGCACTGTATCCACCTGCTGAGCAGCTGCATGTGGGTCACAGGTACCATGGAAAAGGACTGCATTCTGCCTGCTCATGAGCATCTCTGATTCACTGGGACAGTAATAAATGTTAAGTCAGATGGTTATTCCATGAGGTGTTTATCTTTTGCTTGTTTGTCAGCTGTCTCTAGAGTGAACCATTTGGGAAAAGGAGAATCCCGTATAAAATCCCTAATTTGATTTGGGATTATTTTATTTGGCCATGATTTTATTTTCAAATTTTTCCATGCAGCCCCATGGAATTGAAGGAGTTGGAGTACAGACCTGTAAAGGTCCGGGGCCATTTTGACCACTCCAAGGAGCTCTATATTTTGCCACGGTCACTTGTAGAACCTGAGCAAGAGGCCAAAGCAGCCACACGGCTTATGTCCCACCCAGAGAATGGTGCAAATGTCATTACTCCTTTCTACTGCACAGACCTGGGGTAAGTTAGTGAAAGTCTTGGTTCATGTGAGCAACCAGCTTCTGTTGTGAAAAGCTGAATCGTAGTGGTTGGGTTTATAGAAATGGCTCCCTCTCCCTTAAAAGGCATCTCTCAGTCTGTTTGGTCACTGAGGCTTGATTTGAAATTGTGTTTAAATTCCCCTATAATGTGCACTCAGATGACAAAAACATGGCACTAAACATATGGGTTCCTTCTTTCTTTCATACTTCATTCTAGCCAGCAGCAGCAGGAATGAATTTCCTTCCACTCATGAGCTGTATTTCTTTATGTAATTCTAGGGTCACGATCTTAGTCAACCGAGGATTTGTGCCCAAAAAGAAATTGAAACCGGAGACCAGGCTGAAGGGACAGGTAAGAGGGACACAGGGACCAGGCCTGTTGCTCTCTGCCCCCTGGTTACAGAGGCACTACAGAAAAATCAAGAAAGGCAGCAGCCATGTTCAGCGTCATTGGAGTTTACTTATGGTAGTCATTGTGCTTTTCAAAGAAGGCAGACCTCTTCTTCCCACCTTTGTGTTACGTAAATGTGTTTTGCAAACATTTTTACAAACAAAAGGAGCTTGATCTGCTTTCTTTCCCTGCTGTGTTACAGCAGTGCCTCACTGTAAGGCGCAACTCCTTTGTAACCAGACCCCGCGGGTGCCGAATTGTTCTACCAGGACTTGGTATGCCAGAAAATGAAACAAATCTTGCAAGATTCCTTTTTTTTTTCCCTCTGCATTCCACATTTCAGATTGAAGATGAAATTGATCTCACTGGCGTAGTGAGATTATCAGAAACCCGAAAACCTTTTGTGCCTGAAAACAACATCGAGAAAAACCGCTGGCACTACCGGGACCTGCAGGCTATGGCAGAGGTGACAGGTGCTGAGCCCATCTTTCTCGATGCCGACTTCAGTAAGTCACAGAGAAACCCGACCACACATCCAGTTTCCATAGGTCTCACTCCCTTTCTGCTAGGTCTGCTATTTTCAAGGTTATAGAGGCCTACAAGAAACCTGGATACTTTTTTACAGAGGCGTGTAGTGACAGAACAAGGGGAATGGCTTTAACCTGACAGACAGGAGATTGATATGAGCTCTTAGGCAGAAGCTCTTCCCTGTGAGGGTGCTGAGGCGCTGGCACAGGGTGCCCAGAGAAGCTGTGGCTGCCTTATCCCTGGCAGTGTTCAAGGCCAGGTTGGACAGGGCTTGGAGCAACCTGCTCTAGTGGAAGTTGTCCGTGTCCGTGGCAGGGGGTTGGAACTGTATGAACTTTAAGGTCCTTTCCAACACAAACCATTCTACTATGCTGGGCAGCCAGCGCTGGGGAATGGCAACATGCTCAGCAGAGGTGCAGGTGGTGGTCAATGCCTTGAGCACAACCAGCCCCTTGCCGCCTGCCCTACAGCTCTGGCTTTGCTGCTGATTCGGGAATACCATAACCTGAGGAAGAGGAGCAGAGCATCCATCTAAATTAACACCTTCACACCCCGCAGCAAGGACAGCTCTGCATGATGCAGATATAGGTTTAACTCCTATTGTACTTGCAGGAAGCACAGTTCCTGGAGGGCCCATTGGAGGCCAGACACGAGTGAGCCTGAGAAACGAGCACATGCAGTACATCATCACCTGGTAAGTTACCCAGGCAGCATGGGGCTGACCTTCCACAAGTTTCTTTTGCATGTGAAGCTCTGCCTCGCATTCTGGCTCCTGCATCAGTGCAACCGCATGAGCTCTTAAGCTGTAATAATCTGAAGGTTTAACCCAAGTAACATCCTCAAGGTGATTTGAGATAACTATGGGGTTTGCACTGCACCAGACTTAGGAAGGTCCAGCTCATCTGGAAAAGGTGTAAATGCAGTTTTCTTTCATAGGTACGGCTTATGTGCTACAACTGCATTCCTGTGGTACAGAAAATTTGTACAGAAGATACCTCTATGAGGGGAAGAGCAAGTCTCTTCTGTACTGCAGTCAAGAGCAGACTTTTCTGGAAGATAGCAGCCCGATCAGTCCTGAGGAACTGCAGCACAGTTTTAGGGCAACATGTGCAGTAAAGGTGCACAGCTATCAAGCTGCAAATAGACTTTAAGTAACAGATGCTGACTCTTAAGCTCCTGCCAGCATTATTTAGCTGCAGCTTGGAAGCACTGAATTTGAAAGTGTCAGTTGAGACTTCAGGGAAGCTGGCTTACACATTAATCTTAAGGATACGTTTCTTTTGTGGCTGGTGGTAAGCTCCAACATTTTAACTTCTCCACAGCTGTACCTTCCAAACGATGGAAAGGTTTTGTCAGTCAGGAGTGGTTCATAGCAGTTGCATCAGAATAAACAAAGACATATTTCATGTGCTTGCCTCGTGACTTCCATTGTGCAGCTTGCATCCAGTGACCAAAAGAACAGCTATTGCAGATGCTCAAGTCAAGGTGACTCAGGCAGCCTAGGGCTTTGCAAAAGCATGCTGAGGGCTACTGAAAACAAGCAGCAGCTCCCACCTCTATAGCCTTGTAAAACATGGCAGCCTCCCACAATACCAAGAGACCAAGTCAGCACGGAGGAAAGAGCACAAGGTGGTCTAGATTTCCCCCTGCTTTCAGCCTGCCTTCCCTGTCCATTCCTGCCCTGGCAGAGGCACGAGGCACCTGCCCATATGAGGTGTCTATCTGGTTAGTCTGCTAAAATGAAGCATCACCCTTTATCACCCATAGTGTAACCCAGTCATAAGTACTAATGGAGATGTCCTGGATCAATTTTCAATTGAGACACACTTCCATATGCAGACTAGGCTTAAAGCCAAAAGTAGCCCAGTACATTCAACTGTATGATCACAGTGTATATGCGTCGGAGCTGCTGTAGATGAACTGTGTTAAAGAACACAGATCGTTACAGAGGAGTAGTAGTTAAGAGCAGCTGTTCCAAGTACCTGCTCCATAATGCTGTTTGTGTGGCCCTATTCAATCATTTGATGAAGGCAAACGGAGGTAAGGCAAAGCCACTGTGCTACTACCCACTGCCTGGAACACTGCCATTAACAGAGACCACCAAAACTGAATCCGAGTGTTTATTCTTTTTATGTACAGAAAACATGGAGCCATCCAGTACATCTTTAACCAAGCTTAGTAGCCAGTTCTTTAGCCTTTGCTTTTTCAAGCTTAGCAATGCGAGCCACCGATTTCGGACCCAAGACGTTACCACCCCAGTGACGCCGGATCTGCAAAAAAGCAGTAACAAGTTAGGTACCTTATACCACCTCTTAAATGTACCATTCAACCAACCTGCTCAATTCCACTCCTTTTTGCACAAATGGAAGAGCTCCCTCAACTAGGAGTCTTACACATTTCAAGCAGTGAACTAAATCTCTGGGCAGCACAGAGACTAAAGTTTAAAAGTCTTTCCCAAGAATGGTGCTGGATTGAGCCATCATGTAATTTCTGGACTCAGGATGGAGTCAAGCCCAGCAGAAGCTGCTGCCCTCACTACAATCCTAACCCTGTTGACTTCTAACTTGGTGACAGTATTCATGTTTACCCTGCTCTGAGGCAAAGAATCTGCACGCATCATAAGCAAATCTTGGTACAACACACTGAACAGGCTTTAAGTTGATTTCACTATGTCTGGAATAATCTGCATTTCACTAGGAAGCTTTTGGGATATTAACAGTGTAAGATGAAAGAGAAGGCTAGCAGCACAAAGAATCTTACCTCATCATATCTGTCATTGTAATTGGTCTTGACAGCCTCCACCAGCTTTGCAAGGGCTCCCTTATCCTCCCTGTTGGTGACAATTTTAGTTCCTTTAAAGCCTCAATTTAACATTTTCCATAAATGATTTGCCTCAGCATTTAAAGCTCATAGTAGCAATGTGGTTTTTCAGGTTAAGCATCATCTGCAAAGGCTTAACCACTCCACCTAGCAATACTTCAGGAATCTGCACTGCTCAGGTTAAGGTTAGTAGTTCCATCTATGTATTTTCAGAGTAACCATTCATTTTGGTAAACCAAAATAATCTGTATTTTCAAGGTCCAGTAATGTTCTTTAGACAACAGGCCGTATGTATCGGATGTTACAGAAGTAACAGTTTAGTTTTACTATTTTATACTAGACAGACACAGGTTTGCTATCCACTTGCCCTACAGCCTGTGCCTATGGACAGTCTGCTTTCTACCACAGAAAATCACCTCAGATCACAGAACACTTACGGGTTAACTTGGGTGAAAGCAATAGAGGTACATGTTTTCCTGTGAACCAGTCGCCCCAGTCTGGCTTTGCCCTTGATAATGCAGTATGGCACTCCCATCTTGCGGCACAGGGCTGGCAAGAAGACCACCAGCTAAAAAGAAAAGGAGCATGATGTAGAACTTAAGGAGAACATCTGTCTGTTCTTTGGATTAGCCTGGGCTGTGGCAATTGCTCAGGGTTAAAAAGCTTGTTTTGCTCTTCACTATTAATTCAGGTGAAGAAATTCACACATCACTGCAAGGGCCAAGCCTCATTGTAAAACCAGGACAACTATGAACATGCATATGCATTCCAGTGTGGGTAAATATATTTTTATGCACTCCCTTTTCACACAGTAAGTTTGTTCTAAAATGCATTTTCACCCCAAGTCCAGTTCTGGCCTCAGCCTGGGTTACATGCGTAGCCTGTAAGATGTACTAGGTGAATACACATACCTCAATGGGGTCTACATCATGGGCAATAACTACAAGCTGAGCCTTCTTGTTCTCCACCAGAGTTGTGACACTGTTAATACCTGAAAAAAAAAAAAATAGGTAAGCTTTGATTTCACTCAGTCCATTTATCAGAGCTTTCATGTCAGCCTCATAGAACCAGCTCAGACTCCATACCGGATTCATTACAGAAGTTATGAAACTTTCCACATCCACTCAGAAGATATTCCCTGGACAATCTGCTAAAGCTCAGGGTTAAAAAGCTCGTCTATTTTGCTCTTCACTTTGAGATCAGGTGAAGAAATTCATACATCATTGCAATAGCTTGTCCAGTCCTGCCTGGCTGAAGCAGAGACTTTTCAGAGTCTCAAGTCCATGTACAAAGTTACCTGCTCGGAGAACTGGTGGCCGCTTAGTTGGAGCATCTCCCTTTCCTGCAGCTTTCTGCTCAGCACGAGCCAGCAGCCTCTGCTTCTTCTCATGCTTGTTTTCTGGCCTGTATTTGTGTGCCAGCTTCAGAAGCTGCGTAGCTGGAAAAGAACATCCACTGGTCAGCTGCACAGGCCAAAAAGCTAAGCATTACTTTTGAAAGTACTGAAATGCGTCAATGATCTTGGTAGTTGTCATCAAGTGCATTTAGACAGCAAAAGGTCAGCATCATCTGCACAGTGCAAGAGGAGCACCTCCAGACCACCTATTTACCTCTACATGCACCTCTGCTGGCAATGAGCTTCTTCCTTCCCCCTTTGGATAAGAAAATGCCTGTGGACCCCCTCAGCAATTACAGTTAAATGTGGTGCACTTTCTCCTTTAAAGCAAGCAACTTCTATTACAGCATCTATGAAGAAATTGCTCTATATAGGTCAGAAATGTCTTGCATAGACACTAGCACTTGGAAAGTAAATAGTTCACACAAGACACTGAAGCTCTGTTCAGAAGTAAATAGTCACACAAGACACTGAAGCTCTTTTTTAACGTCGGCCTGCAAGATGCCAGCATTCCCCCAAGGCCTGTACACCCACACATTGCTCAAACTACGTTTATTCACATGAAGAACCGCAGGTGGTTCTGCAGCAAGCTAGAAGAACAGCCTCCGATGGAAACGTGCAGTTGAGACAACCCTGTGTTTGTATCCTTAAGTGGGACCTCTGGTATTTTCTATATCCCTTTTCAGGGTACACAGCAGCCATCAAGACTTAAGCCAGCAAATTCAGACAGCAGCTTGGTATCACACCACCCCTATCACTATTAAAGCCTCCCTAAAATGCTTCCAAAGATTCTCCCCAGCTTACCTTAGTTACGTCTTATTTCAGTTTCTTTCCTCCTCTGAAGCACATCCCATCAATGACCCAGGTCAAGACAACTGCACGTGGCACATCCTTACCTGTCTGGCGGTCCAAAGCCTGAGTGAACTGGTTAATGGCAGGAGGCACCTTCAAGCGCTTGTAAAGGATGGACCTCTGGCGCTGCAGCCTGATGTAGCGCGGCCATTTCACAAAACGCGTGAGGTCCCGCTTTGGCTGGATATCCTGTCCTGGGAATAGAGACCCTTTAATGCACAGCTGTTCCACAGCCATAGAGCAACAGCATGGAACAGGCATGAGTGCATCAGAGATCTTGGTGGTGATATGTCAGCACTATCATTCAGATAGCAAATATTCTTCACATCATCTGCACACTGTACAAAGATGGCACTACCGAAGTTTGAACTGAGTTACCATACCACATGCAAAAAGTAAAGATTAATCCCAACAGAACCATGGAATGAATCCAGGCAGTACAGGAAACAGCACATTGGCCATAACCAGCCACCACATAACTGCCCTAATGAAGAGCAGCACTTAACTGCAGGCAGCAAAGTTAAGTACCTTTATCACTGTCTCCACTCCAAAGTTTTGTTACAGTACATGCCTCTTTACAATTTCGACATCTATTAACAAACCCCCGTGTTGAGAGAGTAGCCCAAACACTCACTTACCAATACCAAAGTTCTTGGGCCTCTTCTCAAAGAGGGGATTGACAACTTTTTTGGCCTCCTGCTTCTTGACTACAGCAGGGGCTGGTGCCACCTTCTTGCCCTTCGCCTTCTTTCCTTTCGGCTGCAAGAAGCAAACACACCCTTTCGTACTCAAAGAGCTTTCACTCCCCCGGAAATGCATTTCTCCAGCCCGGCAGCCTCCAGCCCAGCCCTACTCTTCCAGAGAGAACAAATCTTTCCCTTTGGCTTCAAAAGGTTTACGAGCTTCCCTGCCAGAGCCACCGCTTAAACCCGCGTGCTGATCCCCTCGGCCGCGCAGCCACTGGCGTTCCGCAGTCCTGCGCCCCCAGAACGCCCACCGTGAGCTGCTGCCCCACGAGCGCGGGATCAGCCACACACTGGGAGAAACGATGCAGCCCGAGCCGAGCGAAGTCCCGAGTCCCTGCGCTCCGGTGCGGGCGAGGAGGCCCAGACTCGGCCTTCCCCGGGCCATCCCCGCTTACCACAAGCCGGGCACGAGCACCCCTCCACCCCCCTCGCCAGGCTACCGAACACCCGCGCGGTCCTCCCCGCCGGGCCGCGGCGCAGCGACGGCGGCGGATGGCGTCGGATGGCAGCGGATGAGCCCTTCCCTGCCCCCGCGGCCCCTCACCATCTTGGGCTGCGACAGAGAAAGGATGAGCAGCGCCTGCCGGGAAATATCTACGGGGCGCGACGTCTCGCGAGAGGACGGCGGCACGCGGGGGGGGCGGGGCTCGGCGCGGCTCGGCGCGGCGCGGCGCGGCGTCCGTGATGTCGCAGGCGCGCGCGCTGCCGCAGAGCAAGGAGACGCTGCTGCAGTCGTACAACAAGCGGCTCCGCGATGACGTTAGGTCCATCCTGGACAACTTCACCGAGATCGTCAAGACGGCCAAGGTGCGCCCGGGGCCGCGCTCCCGGCTGCGGGGCCCCCGCATCGCCAGCGGGCAGCCGGGCCGCGGAAGGGGGGGTGTGGAGGCACGCGAGCGCGGTGGTGGGGAGGGAGGGAGGGAGGGAGGGAGGGAGGGAGCGGAAGCCAGCGGTCCTGTCCAGGGTCCTGTGTGTGAAGGCGGCTGTGTGCGCGGTTCTCTTTAGATTGAAGACGAAACTCAAGTCTCTCGAGCAACCCAGGGTGAACAAGACAACTACGAGATGCACGTCAGAGCTGCCAACATTGTGAGTAGCGCTCTGCTGTGCAAAGCAGTGGGCAGGTGCTGTTGGATGCACTGTTGCACCTAGGGCAGCCTTTATAACGCTCACAAGGACTGCTGCTAGCAAAGTATCCTGGTCGTTGGGGTGGCTGGGGAAGGTGGGGTAGCCTGGCTTGTCAGCTGCAGGCTTCTGTCAGAATCCTCGTGGAATGTGGGATTTTTTACTTTATTCGAAGCTTGGGCTGAAGGAGCAGCTTAGGGGATCTTGGTTTAGAATTGGAGCAAAGCACAGTTTTGATACGCTGTGGTTTTTCTTTCTGCTACAAGGTGCGAGCTGGTGAGTCTCTGATGAAACTTGTGTCTGACCTGAAGCAGTTTTTGATCCTCAATGATTTCCCCTCTGTGAATGAAGCTATCAACCAGCGCAACCAGCAGCTGAGAAGCTTGCAGGAGGAGTGTGACAAGAAGTTGATTGCACTGCGGGATGAGGTCTCCATTGACCTGTATGAACTAGAAGAAGAATATTACTCTTCCAGGTACAAATAGGGCAGTGGCCTTCTGCCTCATGACTCCATGGGGAGGTTAGTCCAGACAAACAAGTAGTCCTTAAAGTACAGGTCTTGAGAATGTTCCCAGCAAAACTTTACTCCTGTTTTTAATTAGGTCAAACTCTTTTTCTGCAATTAAACTGTCTTTTCCTTGTGGATACCCTACAGGGTATGAATATCATAGGGAAGGAGGTGTTCACAGTATCCAACTCTAGGTCCCTGCTTTTTTTTTCTAGATTTGACAGATAATCTGCTTAGGCTTCCTTTGTAATCATTGTAAAAGGAGATGAGTTTCCTTGGGAGTATAGACTTCTGTCTGAGTATCCCTCTGAAGGAGCCTCTGTCTCCAGAGAGGCTAGGTTGCTGAGCTGGGTTCTAATGTTAGAGGAGATCAGCACGTTCTCATAGTGAGTGCTTTCACAAGTGACCTGGTCACACACTGTGCCTTTTCCCCTGTAGTCCCCGGCCTCCTGGAGTCCTCTGGGGGTGAGCGCTTGAAATGAATGTAAGAGACTTGCTTGGTTTCATTGAATAATGAAGCATTGCGGTAGGATTTTCTACAGAATAACAAATTGTTACTGATTTGTGGGATTTTTAATATTTTTAAAATACTTAGAAAACAGGCTTTGGAAGATTTAGACACACTATCTTTTTATTTTATCTTCTGTCATGCACTCCAGCACTTCTAGTTGATGATGCAGTAAATGAAAAGTGAGAGAAAGCAACTGAGAAGCTGATTAATTCGGCTGTACTGTCCGAGCTAAGCAAAGTCAGTGCAATAATGCTATGACTTCCAAACAAAAGCTTAGCTTTTAAAAACCTTACTTAAAATTCTAATGCCCAGGATTTCTATTTTTGCCTTTCCCTTCTTTCTAAAAATGCTGAATGCCTGTAACCTGAGCTAAGGCAACTAAACCTTAATTGCTCAATATTTTTGGAAGTTAGGCCATTGGTTTTGAGTAATGTGTGTATTTTAAGAGTAAAAAGATGTTGATATGACATAGCTTAGGAACTCCTGTGACATTGGAAGAGAACTAGAGGTAGATGTTTACGGTTGTTTTTCAAACTTTGGTCATTCTTGGGTGGAAGGGCAGCAAGAGATCCTGGAAACAGCACAGCAATGAAGAGTGACAGTCGCAAACCCACACGCCAGCCCAGGCTCTGATGGGTCAGGGGTGCATCGCCTACACAGGCTGTATCCACACAACAGTGTGACATGCTGTGGCTGATAGTGCCTCACATGTGCACGTATGTCACCATGCTGTCACCAGACTGACACTGCTGTGTGTCAGTAGCTTTGACCTTTGGCATAGGGGGTTGTGGCCATGCTGGCATGGTCTGTTCACCTGCCTGGCACCAGGTGCCGTGTAAAGCGACCCTTCATAACAGAACTGTTGTCTAAGAACAAGTGTTGGCATGCACCAAATGGTTTTGCCTTTGTGTTCTGTCTTGTAAGAGTGGTCAGGAGGTGAGGAAACTCAGCAGCTCTGCAGAGCTGTGATCTGAAACCTGTTGTCATGTAGCACTTAGTCATTTGCTTTTAGCACTTATTCCTTTCCTGTGCTCTTTCCCGTCTTTTTCTGCACCAAAGAAATTGTATGTGTGTAAATATAGAAGTACTAATTTATTTAAAGTCCTTTTATAATTGGGGTATTAAGATATTTTTAATGAAACTTTAATGTCTAATGTGGAGAAAAAGGGTTTCTGTTACGTCACATAGTGGTAGAGTGATAATCATGTTCAAATGGCTGTAGTAGCTGGTTTGCCCACAGACACACATTCTGTGTGGTCCTGGGAGCCCAACTGCGATTGCCTCTTTGCACCATCTCTTACTTCCTCATGGGTCCTGAGTCCACAGGATTGCCTTAAGAAGGGTGCAGTCCCATGAGGTCCAGCTATGGGTTCCACACAGGCATCCTGCCGGCCTTTCTCCCATGTGCCAGTGCCCCTGAAGGTCACTGGTTTATTTTAGTTGTTCCTCCAGGGGAGGCTGCAGCAAAGTGAGCTCCCTGCAGCCGCACAGAGCTGCCCCAGGCTGCAGAGCTTTGTTCTCTGTGCTCTGTTCCTGACCACTGTGACAAGCCTGTGGAAGGGAGTGTCTCCTGTCCAGGTCTGTCGCTGTCATTGTGCTAAAGGGGCTTAGGAGGCAGGCCCTTGCCATAGTGAGCAACTAACAGGATGTGTTGAAGTTGTATGGCCAGGTTTCACTGATAGGCTTTTATTGCATACATGAGGGTTTTGATGAGGAGACCTGAAAGCAGGTCTTTGAAACTTAAAGATTGTTCTGAAGGAATCTTTGCTTTCAGTTCCTGTGCTCAGACAGTTTCCTAAAGATGCTTCTCAGCAGTTTCCCTGTGCATAGACCTGGCTGCATGCCTCGAGGGGGGTAGTGAAGTCCCTTCCATGCACTGAGAAGACCTCAGTCAAAGGACAGAGTAGCAGCGGGCTATGGTGAGCAGTAGCTGCTTGTTGACCCTGACTTTTGAGGAGCATAAGATGAGAGGTGAAGCTCAGACTTTTGGAACTGTTCTATCTCAAGTAGCACGAGCAGTGGTTATGCTTCTGACAGAGCTAAAATGTTGTTAGTAACTCCCCTGCCCATATGGGGTGGATGCTGTGACCAGGTTCTCCTTGGAAAGCCTGGCCTGAGGTCTAAGGCTGACAGAAGAGGAATTGTAGTTCTGGTCAGGTCCTGAAGGTCTTTGCTAGCTGAACCCAGCTGCACTGTGTGCTGGGGGCTGGGGGGAAGGGTGATCTTCTAAGGGATTTTACAAAGGCTCCAGGTACAAAACCTGCATCCACTGCCTTCTCACTTCTGCTGCAAACCCGGTGGGCGATGCTGCCAGAAAAGAGCTCAGAGCTAGATGCTTGCAACTCATGCTTTGTGTGCTTATTCCCCAAAGCAGTAACTCCAAGCCCAGCTTGACTTCTCTCATCCTCAACCCCAAGCCTGCATTTGTGTTCCATTGTTCCTGTCTCTGGGACCATGGAGTCTGTCTTGAGTGTGGGGTTAGATCTCAGCACGTTTCATGCTTGTGCAATTTGAAGTGTCTCGTATTTCTACACTTAAAATATTTCCTGAAGCACCTATTCAAGTCCATACATTAAAAATGTAAATAAAGCTGCAACAACAAAATCATTTGACCCACTGGGTTTGTTTTACTCTGAACACAAGCTGCTTTCGCTCTAGCACTCATTTTGTCTTGGGTGTCTCCTGTGTGTGCAGCTCCTTCCTCTCAGGAATTTGTTTTGATTTTGTTGCGGTTTCTTCCATAATTTTCCTTTATAGATTTGGCCTTTCCACCTTGTCTTTTTCTGAGAGCACAGACCAGAGTTAGCCAGTTCTGTACAAAACATCCCTTCCCACAGTGCTGGCTCACCCAGCTCCACAGTCTGCAGTGGGCAAACCCAGCAGCTGCTTTTAGCAGTGCTGTTGGCTCAGGTTCTGCTGAATAGGAGCCTTCAGTGCCTTGTGGTCTGGGCAGCTTCAAGAGAAGACCCAGAGCTGCTGCAGAGCTTTTCTGAAGAGGTGTGCATCAGTTCCTTCTGTGTCGTGACAGAGAGGGACCCCAAGCCAATAGTGCTAGGGGTGTTTTCTATACTGAAATTTAGAGCAGGATTTGGTATTTTTTTTTCTCAGTTAGGTTGTGATCTAATTCCAAGTAAAATAATGATGGTGAGGTCCTTGCCTCACTCAGATCGGTAGCATGATTCCTATGGGGTGCCAGAACTTCAGTCCATATGTTTTCAGGGACTTGGAGCATCTGGACTAGAGTTGAGCTCTGTTTCAGTTTGTAGCAACGATTCTGTCTCTGAGGTGCCCCTGATCTCACCAGACCCATCAGGTTCAAGACCAGCCCTGAGCAGGTGACCTAGGGAAGGCGGATGTGACAAGGCTTGTGATGAATTCCTGAACCTGGGCCTGGCATCTAGGAGCCATGTTTTGCGATTTTCTGAATGCTTTGCTTCTGTCCTGCTCTCCCCTGCCTACCCCCCCCCCCCCCCCCCCGCCTTACTGCACTGCTGCCTCTCCTTACTGGGTTGTTTGTTCTATAAAGCTACAGTCTGTGTGACAGCAACGACCTCCCGCTGTGCGAAGCCTACTGGAGACAAGACTTTACCACGCTGTCTCCTGAAAGCCTCTCCATGCCTCTGTCGGCGGCTGTAGCAGAGCAGAGCGCGGCCGCCGCGCAGAGCTCCGCCCCAGCGCCCCCCTCCGGCCACGGGCACGGCGCAGGCCCCGCCGAGCACTCCTGAGGAGCATCCTCTGCCGCTGAGCGCTTTCCTCCAGCGCTCTGTGCTGCTGGAAGTCTTCCGCCTGCTGAATTGAGGAGCGTCGCCCATGGCCAGGAGAAGGCACTGGAGCTGTGTGTGCAGGTAGGTTTCTGCTCCCCGGACAGCCACAGTGCCTTCTCCACCGCAGGACATTGCCAAGAGTGTTCTTCTCCTGTAAGAGATTGTTCTAACAAGTTAGAGTCAGGTTTGCTTTTACATGATTATGTTACATGTTGTTACATGTGGTGTTCATTTGATATCCCATTTGTTTCTGTGTGGATCTCAGTAAGTTAAACACTGGAGCATTGGGAGTTGAATTTTTTGGGGATAAACCTGAGCCAAACCAGGAGGCAGTGAATGTTTGGAGTATTGACCCTGTTTCACAAGGTTACAGACATCCTGCTGCTTTAAAACTCTCAGGATGGCATCCATCAGCCTCTGTTCTGCTGCACAGGACAGTAAGGACCTTGCAGTATTTCTTACACAGCAGGCTTCAGTGTCCAACTTGCTCACAGCCATTTGGGAAGAGGCTGTCAGGAGGCACTTACCGAGGACCAGTGTACTCCCTTTGAAGAGCAAAGGGCACATAGGAATGGGGCAGGTCCTGGTGATGCCACCTGTAGAGGCCACTGGCAGGAGCAGTGGCAGGCTCTGGTTCCTTTCTCAGTGTTAACACATAAAGTTTCTATTAACACTGTGTGAGCTAGTGGGACGCTGGTGTTTGTGTTGCCCGTGCTGTGTCTAACTGGGCAGTGGGGTGTGCAGAGCAGTGTGGTTCTGCTGTTCCTGTCGTACTTTCCTCCCATCTCAGTAGCCTCCCCCTCGGGCCGTGCCGAGCCCTCGGAGCACGGCTTCTTGCACCTGCAGTGCTCTGCCCGGGGCCGCGCTCCTGAGCACGTGCGTTTTGGTTTTCCTTCATTCCATTCGTTTTTGTAATTCAGTCACTCAATAAAGTGTATCTTTTGTATTCTCTGCCACTCGTGTGTTTTAACCGGCGTCCTGGAAACGGCCGTGGCGAGCGGGCGCCGGGAAGCGGTACCGCCCTGTCCGCCAACACCGCGCAGGCTGCGCGCGCAGTCCCCCGGACCAGCCACGGCCAATCCGGGCCCGCCGCCGGCTCGCTGTCGTCACTTCCTGCCCGGTGCGGGCTGAAGTCACGTCCTGCCGGCGGCACGGAAGGCGGGGGTGTCGAGGAGCAGTGGCGCCGCGATGCAAGGCCTGACCGCAGGGCCGAGCCTGGCCGCGCAGGACTCGTACTTGCAGGGCCTGGCCAGGAGGGTCCGCGCGCAGCTGGCGCCGGAGTCGCGGAAGAGGAAATTCGGTAACGGAGCCGCAGCGCTTCACCTTCTGCCGCTCCGGGCCGGTGCGCGGGGCCTGGCTCCTGATAGCCGCCTCTCTCTCCGCGGGTGCTTGGCCCAGGGGAGGCTGTTGTGCCGGTTTGTAAGGAACAAACCCCATTGCTTGTGCTGCAACACGGGGCTCCTGAGCACTCTGCGGTCTTACCCAGGGGAAGCAGTAGTCTCTGCTCACTTTATACACGTGGCGATTGGATGGGGGGGAACTGGGACTTCACTGAAGTGTACAAGCATGTTATTGGGCTATTTAAATAAACCCTATAATATGTAATTTTTAAAGGTACACCATTGAAATACTGGAAGTTCAGTGTTTAGTAATACCTTGACGTTGTGAAGTGGGAATGTTGTGCTGGTTTGCGTGATTTGGTTTTGCCTTCTAGTGCCTCAGCCAGGGCAGTCTGAGGATGCTGGTAGGCAGATCAAGAAAAAGAAGAGAAAGAAACCCAGGAAGCAAGCTGAGAAGGTGAACACACCTTCAGTCAAACAGACGGTGTCTAACGCGAGCAAACCTGCTCTGGGACAGAGGGCAACCCCTCAGGCCAGTAAAGCATCTCCAGACAGTGCTGCACAGAGCAGAAGTGAGAGCTTGGTCACAGGTGAGAATGCCAGCATTGCCATGGTCAGGTTAAAGTGTCGTGAGCTGAGGTAGCTGCTTTTTGGTTGCTTCACACACGTGTAGTTCAGAAAGCCTTTAAAAAGTTCATTTGAATTGAAAACATCTTTGCATATTCCATGTGCCCTCAAAGCTGTTGTGCACATACTGAAATTGGGTGGCTCTTGGGAAAATGCATTTAGCCTGAGCTGCAATTTTAGTGTATCTAGTAAGCCTCTGCTGCAGTCTCTGCCATGCCAGCTCAGCTTTCCATTGACAGCCTAAAAAGCCTGGTCACCAAGAAAACGTATCATCAGTGTCTTAGTTTCCACCAGACAGGTACTTGTCTTCTGACAGCCACAGAGCATGCCGGGCTGTGTCTAAATGTCAATATGGGTAGAAAAGGGCGAATTAATTCTAAAGAAACCAATGAAATAGAAACTTTTGGCTTGTTTAGATTTTCCATTCTGTTCACAGCATCTGCAGAGTTCTCAGAGCTTTTTCCATAGCCACAGAAAGTTCTGCTTAGTTAGTGCTGTCATTTAAGTATTTCTGTTTTCTTCCTCTTGTTTTCAGGGAGCAAAAGTGACCTGGATTCCTCTTCCCTTTCTGCAATAAATCTCTTGCGTCAGAGACTACATGAGAAGATTAAAAAAGCTTCTGGACAAGTATGAGAATTCTTTAACATGTATCCATACATGTGTTAATGCAATAGGCATTCTCCCTGGCCTTCCGGGGGTGTGGGGACAAAACTCAGGGTTTGGGCTCTGTCCATCCCCACAGGAAGTGCCAGGGGGTGTTGCTGGGGTGTTCTCTGGTATGTGAGAAGAGCCAGAGCCCGGCTAAGGGAACAGAGCCCCCAGTGATCTGTAGTAAGAAGAGCACTGAGAACCTGAAAGGGAGCATAGCCATAGGGTGTTGAGAGAGACTAAGGGGTCTGAAACACCTTTACTGTGCTTAGTGTCTCTGAACGCTGAGCCCATGACTCCTTGTCACAAGTCACGCATTCCTTGTGAGAGATTTGAAATTGGGAACTTGAGGACATCCCACTTTTAATTCTGATTTATTCCTGTAAGGCTCCTGATTCATGTCCATCCTCCTTCTTAGGATGATGCCAAAGAATTGCCCCCTGCAGTCCTGGAGAAGAGGCAGCGAAGGAAATATGAGAGAGAGAGAAAGAAACGCCGAAGAAAGGAGCTGTTGATGAAGGCAAAAACAGAGAAGAAAGAAACTGAGGAGGTACCGGTAGAGCCAGAAAGCAAAAAGGAGAGCAAAGCTGAAATCGTCTTCAACAGGGTTGAAGTCCATGAAGAGAATGAGCTGAGCAAGATCCAGAAAAAGAAAGAAAAGAGGAAAGCAGTGAAAGGCAAAATCACTCCTCTGACAGGCAAAAACTACAAGCAACTGTTGAGCAGGCTGGAGACCAGGAAGAATAAGCTGGAGAAACTCAAGGATAAGGACGAGAAGAAAGCTCAGGAGCTAGAGAACAAGATGAAATGGACAAATGTTCTCTACAAGGCGGAGGGTGTGAAGATTCGTGACAACGAGGAGCGCCTGAAAGAAGCCCTGAAGCGTAAGGAGAAGCGTAAAGCACAGCACCAGAGGCAGTGGGAGAAGCGTACAGAAAAAGTGGTGGAAAAGATGCAGCAGCGGCAGGAAAAGCGTCGCAAGAACATTCAGAAGAAGAAGAAAGACAGAATAGAGAAGAAGAAAGCCAGGGCCCGGAAGAAAGGCCGAGTTCTGCCAGAAGACTTGAAAAAAGCTGGCTTGAATTGAGCGTGGGGCTCTGCCAGGTGGGGAGTGATGGGACATGGTCGGTCTGTCTGTCTGTCTGTCTGTCTGCCTGACACTGCGGCCCAAGCAGGCAGTGCTCGAGGAAACCCGGTGGTTTTGTAATAAACTTTGTAATAAGCCAGCCCGTTGTGTCCTTGGCCGTTAAATTTCCTGTCCCCTTCTGGCTGATTTATCGCCATCATCATTGTCCCAACAGGGGGGGTGCTGCTCAGGCGCAGGCGCAGTGCTGGAGGAGGCGCGGAGCCCTAGCGCCGTGGTTGCCCTAGGCGGGGCGGGGCGTCCCGAGGCCCCGCCCTCCGCGCTGCCATGGCGACGAGGATGCCGCCACTGCCCCGGCGCGTTGCAGTGCGCCGCGCGGCGCTGCTGTTGTGCTGAGGCTTGGCGGCGGCCGGGCCCCCTGGCTGCACAAGGGGCCTTCCCATTCAGTCCAGGCCCCTCGGACACCGAGTCATCGCATACCTTTAAATCATCGGAACGCTCCGCCTGCAGCAGTTTCAGTGGAAGCCATGTAGTTTCGGCCTGAGTAGAGCCTTTAAACCCTTTGTCCCGCAGCTTCTAAACCTCATTTCTTCTGGAAACAGGCCTGGAAGTTGGCTGCGGTGGCTGCGTGTCAACGGTGGGAGTTGTGCTCCGCGTTCCAGGCAGGGAAGTTACTTAGTATGCTCTTTGGATAAAGTAAGAACTGGGCTAGATTTCCTATGAACAGAGGAAGGCTCCCTTGGTATGGATTCAGAAATCCCTACTGATGCCAAGTTGCTACAGCGTTACCAGCAGCAGAGTGCTGAAAGAACAGCCTACAATGCGTCCACACAGGAGCCACCATTGTACAGGTAGAGAACAGGAGTGTAAAACGCCAATTATGTGTTGATGATTACAGGTATGGAAACGAAGATTTGCACTGGGACTTAGACATGCCTGAATTCTTGGTCACAGCACTAACAACTTGTAATGGACTGTCTCCTTGCCAGATGTAAATAGAATATAGTGAGCTGATGCCTGTTGAAATGCTCATTAATATGCTAATTTTGCAGTGGCACACACATTGTATGGCTTTTCTTTTAAAAATAAATTGTATGTCTTTTTTATTCAAAGGAATCCAAACCACACCTGGTCTGATATGTATTTTTGAACTCTGTTTCCGACTCGGTTTACATGATGATGAAGTAATGATTATGTAATAAGCAAAAAAAATAGATCAGTGCGTCCATCCTTTTCCCCCTAATCCTTCTGCTGAATAATGACACCTTTATCCTCACTTTCTCTTAGGAGAAACAGAGTACCCCAGCTGATGGGAAGAGCAGTGGGCAGATAAAGGCTACTTACACGTTTCTCGCTAGAATCTTACTAAACAGTTCATAAATCTTTATACCTTTTAGAGATAGTATGTATGTCTTTGTAGTTTTCACGTATAAAATCTATCATTTATTGCTTTTATGTCATCACACCAGTTTGGAGCTTGTGATCAACGTAGGCTAATTCCTCAGTTTAGTTCATCTCAGAAGAAGGAACTTTGACTCTGAATAATATTTTTTTAAATTAGAATTATGTTCATGTTCACTTAAATGTTACATTTTGACAATTAAATTGAATATTATACCACTGCAAGTCCTTCCTCTTATGTATTTAGTACAAATCAAAGCTTTCTTCTCTTTCTGTTTCAGAGAAGCTACAATATTTCAGAAGGCTTGCAGAAGTGTCAGTCTCAATGCAGCTGAGGAAGTCAGATCCCTTCCTCATTTTATCGGTAAAATATATTTCCTTTAATCATAGAATCATCCAAGTTGGAAAAGACCTTTAAGATCATCAGATCCAACCATTACCCCAGGACTGCCAAAACCACCTCTAAGCCATGTCACTGAAGGAAATGTCAGATATTTTAATTTGCCTTCTTGGGAACCACCCTACATATAATCATTTCAGCTGAACAAGGTATAAAATCAAACTCAGAAATGACCTGACATCTTCAT